TATATTTCCCTTTTTCCAGTTGTCAGGAGCTTCACCTGACTGCCATGATTTTTCAAATATGATGGACAGTTGCTTAGCAGCTTCATTCGCCAGCTCCTTCAGGACCTGCGGATGGATTTCATCAGCTCCCATGGACTTGTGCACGTGCAGGTTCTTAAGATGGTCTCGAACCAGATCCTCTCCTGCAGTGGGCCCAAGGTCTTAATTCTCAGAGTCCCTGCGTCTGCCTTCCAAGACTTGGGTGGTGTGGTCAGAGTGTTTGCCAGTGAAGACTGAGACAAAGAAGTCATTAAGAACCTCAGCCTTCTCCAAATCTGTGGTAGCCAGTTCTCCTGATAGCTTCAGGAGAGGGCCCACGTTGTCCCTAGTCTGTCTTTTATTTGCTGTGTAATTATAGAATCCTTTGCTGTTATCTTTCACATGCCTAGCCAAGTTTAATTCTAACTGGGCGTTAGCTTTCCTAACCTGGTCCCTAGCTTCCTGGACAACATCCCTGTATTCTTCTCAGGCCGCTTGTCCTTGCTTCCACCTTTTATAAGCCTCTTTTTTCCTTCGAAGTTTCCTCAGGAGCTCCTTATCCATCCACGGAGGTCTCCTGGCCCTCCTGCTGCACTTCCTTCTATTTGGGACACAACACTCATGGGCTTGTAGCAGGTGATCCCTGAATATCAGCCAACAGCCTTGGGCCCCCCTGCCCTCTAGGGCTATATCCCATGGAACCTTACTAAGCAGGTTCCTGAAGAGGCCAAAGTCTGCTCTCTTGAAGTCCAGGGGAGTGAGCTTGCAAAAAGAATGGCAGACTGCCACGTGCAGCACCTCACTTGGATGTGTCTGTAGTCTTGGAATTTTGACTACCCTACCTTCTCCTACAACTGGACCTTGACCTTGTTTGGAGGTTCTAGCAGGGGAGCGCAGCTACAGTATACCTGTGACAGATGAACAGTACCGCCTGTATCGGGGAAGGTTGTACTCTTCTACCGGGCGCACAGCTTCAGGAGGGATGCACGTGGAGCGGTGAGGGAGGAGGGGGACACCTGCCTAGCTAGCCAGATCAGCCGAATCAACCCTGGCGGTCAGTGGGGTGACAGATGTTGCAGCCAGATTACCCTCACATCCAACATGCAACGTCTTAGATGCATTACTCTTAATTTTACAAGATTTCACAAATAATCTACCCAGTCAAGATTTTAATATTTATAGAACTTGTAGTGAAAAATTTGTGTACAGTAATTTTATCAGGTCATTTGTTGTATGTCAAAAAAGTGTGCGTTCTAAGCATTACACATCTCATAGAAATGTAATATGCTACAAGGCTTCCAAACAGTCATCCTGGCTATATTTTTACAAGTTTAAATATTTAATTAATAATATTTTTATTGCATTTTAATAACTTCTATAGTATTTAGGCCTGTTATTTAGATGACAATGCAGCATTAATGACAAAAATCTAGATGATCTACTAGGGCTTTATAATAGTTTCTATGTCAATTTGAAAGCTATAGCTACATATTTTAATGGAAAAAAGAACAGAGATAAGAACAAATCAGTCTTTGGATGGAGATGTTGCTTATTATCTTATAATTTTAATTGTATTTACTGTGAGACGCTGTTAGGTTAAAAAGAAAGTTGAATTTCTGCACCTTGACTGAAAAGGAGAGAGGAAAATAGTAAAGGAAGAAGTGGGAGTGCTTTGATAAGGCAAGAGGTTCAACTTTGCATGTGTTCCTTTATGCAGGTTTATGTTTAGGGCTTTCCATTTGATAAAAGTAACAGGTGCTGCAAAATAACAGGATCTTTTAGGATGTAAGTAGTTTCTATGTGCTAATGCCTCAGGTATGCTGGGATAAATGTGTCTAATCTTGGACACGTAGTGTGTGGGTGCACAATATAGTAATACATGGGTGAGAGGCCTCTTGGAAACCTTTCTAGTAAGCAGAAAACAGTTGCACCAGCAGATGAGCCTGGGTCCAATGCTTAAAGATTTAACACAGAAACTGGTCAAGAGATCCTTTTAGTCTCCAAAAGTACTGCTAAGGTGAAGAGTGAAAAAAGGAGTATATGACCTATTTGGTATTTCTAACTGTATAAAATCAATCCACTAGATTTACCTTCCATGAGTCTTAATGAGTCCTAAGTCCTTTCTGTGATAATTTTGGTATTTTCTTGGATATGTAAACAAATAGTTGAGGATGTGTCATAATAGTAATTTAAGGCAGTAGGATCCCTCATGAAAATCTGAAGGACTCTCTGATTCTACAAATAAGTCAGTCACTGAGACCTCCTTTATAAGCAGTGGAGGAGAAATAAGGTGTTTTGGGTGTGATGAAGTTATGATTTATTTCACGTGGACGTACACACCTAAAACAGGTCAAATAAACTGCACCTTAAAAAGTTCTGTTTCCCTTCACTGACTATAAAATGAGCAGAGACTGGTTAATTCAGATGTACAGATTTGTACTATAAATATCCAGATTTTGGGAAGAACAATTAGAGGTCTCTAGATTCAATTATTTCGGAGTTGGCTGTAAAACTTCTCTAACAGCATGTAAATAATACCTTCCTTACCCCCTTAAAGTAGAGAGAAATTGGGAGTTCTATTATAGGAAAATAGCATCATGGAATCATAGAATAGGTTGGAAGGGACCTCAAGGATCATCTCGTCCAACCTTTCTAGGCAAAGCATGACCTAGATTAGACGTCCTAGCACCCTATCCAGCCAAATCTTAACATTGTCCAGTGCTGTGGAATCCAAAGGCACTTCTGTGGGGAGATTATTCCAGTGGCTGATTGCTCATTGTGAAAAGTTTTCCTCGTGTGTCCAATTGAAATCTCCCCAGCAGTAACTTGTACTCATCACGCCTTATCTTTTCCATGTGACTCCTTGTAGAAATGGAGTCTCTGTCTTCTCTGTAGCCACCCTTGAAATACTGGAACAGGATGATACGGTCTTCTCTAAACTGTCTTTTCTCTAGGCTGTATAAACCCAGCTGTCTCAGCCTTTCTCTGTGCAGCAGGCTTCCCAGTGCTTTGATCATCTTTGTCACCCTTCTCTGGACATTCTCTAGCCCATCCACATCTATTTTGTATAGCGGGGACTAAAACTGAACACAGTACTCCAAGTGTGGCCTGACAAGCACTGGCTAGAGTGGAATGATAGTTTCTTTATCTCGGCCGGTGGTGCCCTTGTTGATGTAACCCAGCATTCTGTTGCATTTTTTTGCCACAGCAGCACACTGTTCACTGTTTTCCAGTAACCTATGCCAAACCAATAAACAAATAGCCAATGTATATTCTTTTCACTGCATAATGGGAAGTTTTAAAAAACTGTTAGAGCCCATCACTGCTCAGCATTTGCTCACATAAACACCTATAGGATGAACTTATATATGTGCAGCACAGCTGCAGTGTAAAGAAAGTCACTGTAAAGCTAATACAATTACTGTCTTTGAGGGTATGCCTATATACTGATATTATGGACACAAAAGTAGCAAGTGAACATTGGAGCAGTTTTTGGTGACTAGGTATATGCACATCTGCAGTGGGACTGTGTGTATACGGTCAGAACATCTCAGGCCTCATAACTTATTTTCCTATTTTTAAGAAGTTATTTTCAATGTAGACATACAGGTGAAAGCATAGTTTGATAGGAGTCCTTGCTTTCGACAAGCTCATACAAATATAATTGATATGGAGAAGGCATGAATAAGAATGCTGTCGAAGTCAGGATGGGTTTCCTAAAGTACCGGTAAAATGCTATGCTCATTGTGGAACAAGGAAATACAGCTATACTGCTGGCTTCCTTTTTGGTGGCTTCGTTTGGATTATGTGATAGTCATGGTCCTTGCCGAGAATTTTAAAACCTGAAAAAATGTCCAGTAATTTGCAGTGTTAGATTTGCCTAATGGTAGATATCTACATTTAAATGCAGTCCTTTCAATAAAAGTATACACTTGGAGATAGATAGGAATTAGTGTTGTTGAGAATGATCAGTTTTAACTGTTGTGCCTAAAAAGCCCATTTTATTTCAGTGCTTTGCCCCTAGAATTAGATACCAGATTATAGGGAACAAAATCACAAATTTTTTTTAGTCAAACTTTGGTTTTGAGTACAGCAGTTGACACAGATGCCACAGGAAGTAACTGCTAAGAAAAAAAAGAATGGGCTCATGTGCCTTTAGTTCATGAAATTAGAGCTGAGAACTCATCATTACTGTAATGAGATGAGTTTTCCTCAATTAAGATTCAATTTTAAATGTATTTTAAACCCAGGATTTTTATACCAGGCAATATGTAGACTATAAATCTTACTATCTTCTGGTTGTATATTTATGTAGTAAAGGTTAGATCTTCATGAGCTCACTGATTATTTCACTCAGTTCCCTGAAGCAGTGTGTTTGGAGGCAGAGATAGGACAGCACTGGAAATTCCTTGGCAGAAGTACCTCTTGCAAAATAATTCAATAATCGAATGCTTTCCTTTCTGAAAATTTTTAGGAATAGAACACAATTTGCTTTTTAATTTAATTTACTGTAAGTAATTTTACATGAACAATTAAAAATGGTGAAGCAGTGATGCTTTACACTGTACATAATTTCATGCACACATAGACACAAACATACCACCTTCCTCACTGGATTTTATATTCCATGTATTCTGCTGTTGAAGCCTTAACTTTTTCTGGGAAGCACTTTGTGAATCCTGCTAGAAGAGGTTCTGAATCAGATAGGATAATCAGAAGTCTTTACAATTTTACTGTATCTTTTTCTGTCCTTTCACCTTTCCTTTACTGCACTATCTTGTCTGTCTGATTCTCACAGGAGACATGGATTACAACTGGTTGGACCATACGTCTTGGCATAGCAGTGAGGCATCCCCAATGTCTTTGGTGAGACATGTGGAGCCTTACCATTTAGTTTCCTTTACATTTCACATTTCCTTTGTTTTATTTACACCTTTGCATGTTTTCTTTTTTGTATCCTTTTTTTTATCCCACACCTATAGGGGACAGTCAAAGGGGAAAAAGAAAAACTAGTGAGCAGGCAGTTTTGTCGGATTCTAACACCTTATCCGAGAGGCAAAAGAAAATGGTGTGCTTTGGTGGCCACTCTTTGGAAGAGGACTTGGAATGGTCTGAGCCTCAGATAAAAGACTCTGGGGTAGATACGTGTAGTAGCACAACTCTAAACGAGGAACATAGCCATAGCGAGAAGGTACTGAGATTATGCAGCCTGCATTTTAACCTGCTCATTTGGTCTTTGTTTGCTCTCTGTCACTCATTAAAATAGTGCATAAAAAGATAGGGTGTTTCTAGAGACACTATAGCATTTCTTAAGGTGCAGAAAAGAAAAACAAATGAAAAGTCTCTGCATGTTGCAGCTTTTACTGCTTGGCAGCCTAAGAAAAAAATTGAGAAGCATAAAGGAAGAACCTTTGTTCTTATGGCTGCATGATAGCATATCATGGTATTACCTTCAAGTATAAAGTAATTAAAAATAAGGATTCTACTGATTGGCTTATTTGATTTACTATGTTCAGACTCCTGGGGCTGAAATTAAATGAATAGTTTAAACCCCAGGTGAAAAAGGGAGAAAATTGGGTCTCTCTGCACAGAAAAGTTGTTTTTCTTTTTTCCCTTTCACTGTCATGGTTGTTCTTTTGTTTTGTTGCCATGCCATTTTTGTGCAGTATTGTGCAGAATTAAAGGCTTTGCCATCTGCTTTGGTATTTTTTTGTTTTGGCTTTCTGTTTGGTGGAGATTATGAGAAATCTTTTTAGAGTTATTAGTTGTAACGGGAGCAGATTTGTCTGTGCCTGCTAATTTTTGCATGAAATAGAGCATGAAATAGTATTTTGCTGTGAAAAAGTGCTATGATTACACAAAACAAAATTTAAAATTGTATTAGTTATGACAATATACAACTGTGCCCATGTATAGTAATGGAATAATAGCATTCACTGCAACTATGCTTTATATGTGAAGCAATTATTCCAAGAAAGAAGTGATACATTTAAATAGGGTAATGACTATAGCTGTTAAGGTATTCTGTAATTTTTAATATATAACTACTGAAAGAAAGTAAAAACCTAAAAATGTTTGTTTATCTTAGAGCTAACTGTCATGGCTGGAATAGTGGAAAAGGAAGAAATATATCAATTTTCTGTTTTGCGTTAAACCTTTTCAGGATTACACTAGTCCTCTACGGCTGTTTTTATCTGTATGAAGGTGTGATTTCCATTCAATATAGCTGTATATACCTGCGTAATCAAGATGCAAAGATAATTCTAGATATTTAGAAATTGGATTTAGTAAAATAGATAACGTTATAAACTATTAGACATGCACTGTGATGGACTATACATCCAAATACATCTTTTCCGGCACAGTTTTCTCTCGTTCTATTATTACAGTAAATGTTAGTGTAATCATAATACTTTCACGGAATTCATGAAATATATCAAGAAATTAAAAGTATTACTGAAATATTTTCTTTAAAATCCTATTCACTGTATTTTCTATTAACACCATATGATAGCATCCAGTAACTTGGCAACCGTCCAAAGATGGAGACCGTCTCATTGGTCGGATTTTGTTAAATAAACGGCTAAAAGATGGAAGTGTGCCTAGAGACTCGGGAGCAATGCTTGGATTAAAGGTTGGTAAACTAGCTACTTCTATAACCAAAATATTCTCATATTATGCAGGTTTTGCATACTGATATCTATAATATCTTACCATTCTCAAAATTACAAAATGGAGACATTTTATAATCAACTAAGAAGTAATTTTACAGGGTCCCTGAAAGGCTCAAAAATATGTAATTCTTCTGACTGGAAGATTAGACATGTTCCCACAGGTTTGCTGAGAATGTCTGCTCTGCAAGGAACTAATTGTATCCTTGCTGGGCAAGCCAAGCCCTGTCTGCTTTTTTCAGTATTGAGCATTGCACTAAGATACAACGTCTGTTACCCAAAAGAGGGGAGAAATGTGAAAAACACATTATCTCATTTGAGGATTTTGGGGACATCTGGAATCCCATGGCATTTCAGTCCATAGCAGAGTCTACTGGTGGAAGAGCCAAAAGCCAGAAAGTTCTCCTCCCTCCCCCTGATTGTTTCATTTGCTACATTTTAAATGCACAAGACTGAAAATGATTTAGTATTTATTGTACATTATCACAAAGTAATGTACTTTCATCTTTTTCATAATGTAGTACTCTCTGAATATTAAGAAGTTGTTTCTAGCTCCTATCTTGATCTCATTTTTGTATGATATTGTTTGCAGTTCCAGCAATACTAGTATGAGAATGAGAATGAATTATACACAGTAAAAGAAACAAGCATATATTTATTTTGAATCAACATCCTTGTTGTGAGAAATTATTAAGAAGTTTGATTAATTATCCATTCTCTATTCAGGATGACACTGACTTCACTGGGTACACAGATTCAGATACAGTCATCCACTGTAAATAGGGATTAAATAAAGGTAGTTACTTATAACAGAAAAGCATGCTTTGGAAATTTTTTTTATTTAATTGACAAATGATTTTATCTTGAAGTCAGTGAAGAAGCTACTTGAGCACTTTTGGAATGTGTGTAATTGCCCTAATGTCTGAAAATGCAAGAGAAGAGACTAATAGTTCCACTATAAAGTACTTTCTGTTTAAACTTCTATATCTAAGACTGTAAAATCTTCTCTTAAAAAGCTGAACTCTTCACTGATATTCATGAACTACTTTTTAATCTCAATAGACATCTGAAGAGAGTGATTTTCAGCCGTTATTCCTGACCTAAATTTTCAAATATTTGCATTATTAAAAGTAACCTAAGCTGGATTTAGTAATGCAAATTTTAAATTGCAATATCAAGGCTGTTAGGAAACTCCTAAGAATTTGAAGTGCATGCAGTTATAATGGATTTTGGTATGTGAATCTCCTGATTCTAAGATAAATATTAAGGTCAAACCTGTTGGAGTTTCCTGTAGAGGAATCTTCAGTATGACAAGTATTTTCATCTGAATTGCTAGCCAATGTGAATTTGATTAATTGAGGTGTTTGATGCTTGGTGTGAACATCATAAGTTTGGTTACATTAATACGTCTGTTTTCAGTTTAAAAGTATTGAAGTAAGTAGTCTCATACCCAACAGCTTACTTTTTTGGGGTGGTAATTTATAATAAAGTGAAGTACTGTACATATGTTTGGTAAGTCTAAAAGCTTTAGCATTCTAAATTTGCATTGTGTTTAAATTGCACAAGTAGCCAGAATAGATAGAAACATAACCTGTCATAGCAATATTCTGTGTCTTACCTGGGCTACCTGATAACCAGGAAAATAACTGAATCTTCTTTCTGTTGCCAGACCATTGAAGTCATTTAAAGTAATTTTCATTCTGTGAAAATACTTCCTCTTTGAAACAGGTAGTGGGAGGAAAGATGACTGAATCAGGTCGACTCTGCGCATTTATTACCAAAGTTAAAAAAGGAAGCTTAGCTGATACGGTGGGGCATCTTAGACCAGGTATGTATCTACTATAGTTCTATACTGGTGAGTTGCTTTTCTGAAGGCAATAACAACTGAGTGAGTTTAATTAACTATGAAATGATGTTGAAAATGTATGATGAACTACTGCAGAATTCAACCTGACATTTAGCTACTAAATTATTGACATGACTTCTTTTGTCAAATAGATAAATTCTATATTGTTCAGAATCATATTTTAGCATTATTACTCATGCTTTTATACTCAAAATACTATTCCACTAATGTTCTGTACAGTAATTTTCTGGTCCATATTTTATTTAGAGGAAACTAAGCTATCACAATTGTGTGAACAGAACCAGCGCAGCTAAGAAACTGCTTCTATCCCAACATGCAAACCATAGATAGCTAGATTGAAGAACGTGTCAGAAATATTAGCTATTAACATAAGAACTAGCTGAACTTTAAATACTAAACTTGTAGATTTAAATGGATCTTCAAAATAGTAAGATGATGTGATAGATATGATGTTTTAAAGAGCTGCGTTTCCTAAAGAGCATGTTGGGATTTTAGTAAACCACAGCTGCCAAAGCAGCTAAGAGCTGTCTCTTGCTCAATAGGGACTCAATAATATCACCTAGTGGTGATATTATTGTTTCACTGAACTTTACATATTTGAAGCTAAGCTGCTGAAAACCTTTTATACTCATGATTTTCCTGTATAAAGGACTCCAGACTTGTCCCAACACAGGTTTCACAGTTCAGAAAACTTGAGAGTAGAATGGCTTAAATTGTCATTGTAAGTGCAGTGCACAGCAGACTTCCTAAGAAGAGTGTTATTACTGAAATTATAGGTGATGAAGTATTAGAATGGAATGGAAGGCTACTACAAGGAGCCACTTTTGAGGAGGTGTATAACATCATTTTAGAATCCAAACCTGAGCCACAAGTAGAGCTTGTTGTTTCAAGACCAATAGGGTAAGTAATTTTATAAGTTTTTGTATTAAATACGATAAAAATATTGCTAAATTTCACTTTTAGGGCAAAGCATATCAAACAGGTTTATAAAAATTGTAAACAGTAAAACTGTCTTCAAAATTCTGTAAACCAAAAGCATAGCTAGAATGATAGATCACAACAGTAATTAAAAAGAGCTGGTGTGAAATTCTGTGTTCTCTAAGAAAGTCCTAGGCAATGTATGCCAATATGGTAAAAAAGAAAGTTCCCCTCTGCGGTTGTTTACTTGGTGATCAAGCCAACATTTGCTCTGAAATTGTTATACTCTGTATTGTTGCAGTTCTTGACTCTTGATTTTTATTTCTCCACTCCCATCTTTATACAATATATATAAAATTATGTGTTTATGTTTAGTCTATGAATTGTGCTGAACTCAATTTATTGAGAGTATGCAATGCAGAAACTGCACAAAATACAGTATGCTAATGACATAATCAATATGCTTTGGAAAGTCTTGAATCCACATTCTCATCAGCTTCGTCTATGAAATCTATTAAATTACTGCAGGTTATCTAATACAGAACATGTCTGAATAAATAGCTAGCACTCTGCAGAATCTTTTCTTTGGTGCTTTACATTGCCCTGTTTTCTTAACTTTCAGACCTATATCTCAAAATCTTGCATAGCAATAGTTGTTTTGTGACTGTGAATACTTCCCCTTCTTCATCTATTTCTTTTCTTCCAAGTTCCTACAGCCTGCAGTCACATTCATCAATTTTTTACTTCTCCGTTAGACGCTCCATAGCTAATCACACCACAGCTGTGTAGAGGGGGATGCTTATCACTGAATTTGAAGATGCTTACAGTTGTTAAGAATTTTTTCTTTCCCCCCACCGAATTTATTATGATGTATATGGCACAACTGGACAGGGTTCTAGGTATTATCATCTAGACTGCCTTCTCCATGTGAGGTTGGACCAAGATGGTCTTTCAGGATCCCTTACAACCTGGGCTGTTCTGTGATTCCATGATTATATATTAATAAATATATTTATTAGATGAACACGATAAATATATTTATTAGGTGCACACAATTATCTTACCTTTTTATGAGAAAGCATTGGCAGTATTACAAGTAAAAATTAAGAAACATAAAAAAATCTAGAACTATGTAATATGAAAACAGAATTTCAGTGAGGATAATTTATCGGCTCAGCTGTAATAAGTACTTAACATGTTGGACACATCCAGACCTTAATGTGCAGGAACTTAATTTGGTTTGAAAATTTTAAACAAATTTGATAATAACAAAATTTGCTTTATCTTTTTAGTGAGATGAGAAGTTATCTCCTACATACGTATTGAATCACAACCCCTTTAGTGCAAAGGCTGTGTCATCTGTCCTATCCTTAAAAACCTCTGCATAACTTGGAAATTATAGGTATAATAGGAATGCTAAGGGACAGACTATGTTACTAGAAGAATATTTTCTCAGAAAAAGAGGTTCCAAATTCATTTCATAAGGTGTAAGACCTTTCATATTTTCTCTCAAACGGAAGTTTATAGCAGAAGTTTCAAGGAACTGCTCACGTCTTGAAAATACTCAATTTATTTTCTCCTTCTGCATTTTTTTCAATGTGCAAACCTCCTGTATTCTTTCTTGTGCTTTTATATTTACTGTCTGTTGATTACCTTCCTCATCATCATGTCTTCTGTTATGTTACTATGTGCTCCACTTGCTGTCACTAGAGCAGCTCATCTAAAATTCCTTAAAGAAAGTGAAGTGGGCTCTCAAGATGCCTTCTTCAGCATTAACTGCTTGCCACATGATCTGAAGAACTGAGCCAGATCAGGGGTAAAAAAGTTTTTCTGTACACTTCATTCACAGTGCCTTTTCGGAGTAGATGTCAGAGAGGGTTTTCACCTCCAAAAAGCAAATTACTAATCTAAATGGGTTTATAACTGTAATCTGTAATGAATGCTTTCTGCAAATTGGTAAGGTTTTAGGTTCTTGTTAGATGTACATAATTCTTTGGATTTTGATATTGACATAACTTCAGGGTTTTTTTATTGTTTTTACTTTTTTTAAAATGATATTTGAGCTGATGAACTGGAAATTCTGTAGTATCTTCTCAGTTTAGATTTCAGGTTATAATTAAGTGGACTATAGAAATTAATACCTTATGCTTGCCCAAGGGAACATAACACCATAGGTTTGTGTTCTGCCCCAGGGAATAAAGTTTCAATGTGTTTAAAATCATTAAAAGTTGAGATTTACCAGATGTCAGGAGTGGTATTTATTTTAACTAGAATAATTGATGCCCACTTGAAGGATTTCACTTTCACATTGAGGAATATCCTGTTACTTATAAAGAGAGTCTCTCGATGGTCGCATAGCAACACATTAACTCATGCTGGAAATCTGACAGCTACTGGTAATTAACTTAGTTGACAAAGAGAACCTATTGTCACATCCTGATACTCTGAATACAAAACCAAATTTCAGTAAGCATGATTATTAGTCCTTCATTTTATTATTGGCTGCTTGCTATGAAAACTGAAGATAACTAGCTGAGCTGATAAAGGAAGATAAAATGGAAAGCTCCTTAAGAAAAAATATGATACTATTTTGGCTTTCAATTTATCCCTTTTTCCATCTTAAAATAAAACTTGGTGGCCAAGTTGCTGCTCTGTGTTAACTGGCTGTCTCTTATACACAGGAACTTACCTATTTTCTGCTTTTCTAATTCTCAGAAATAATTTTAAAATTCACGTTATTTTTATAGTTACTAAGTTTTGAATTTGGAAAGAATGATGCAATCTTCTTGGAGTGGGACATATCTTAAAAAGCAAAGATATGCCTAAAACTACTTCTGCTTTTTCTATACCTGTTAATCTCAGTGATAGTTCCTTGTAAGAAATACCAGTCCCACTACCATGAAGTAAGGGGATATGCATGCCTTAGGAACATAAATGATAGTGTTCAAAGCCTTCAGGTTTATTGTTTCAGATATCCAGAGAAAACTCATATTCAATTTGTTCACAGTGATCCATATTTTCAAGGTTTTCTTCTCAAACTCACACAATAGAAATAGCTTTCTGAAATTACAAGTTAGGTGCAGGAGGGTATTTCTGAGTAAAGTAATAGGCAAGTATTGGGTCCCTTTATAAATTCTGTAGACATCAAATATGCAAATGAATATTTACTTCTTCAATAACCCTTGTAATTTTCTGACAAGTTTTGCTTACTGATGCTCTCTGATTTATTTAAGATATTGGATACTGTGCATCAATTCACTTGGAAAGGTTCCTCAATCTGCTTAGTAAAGCTAACTTTCTGCCGAGTTTTGAAAAATGTTTGGAAACGGTAAACCAAAAAAGGAACAGATTATTTTTTTCTTTTCATTGTATGACACAGTAGATATCATGGGAAGCATTTTTAACCTTTCCTTTCTTTTCATATACCTTTCTAGTGGGTTGACCTTGTCTGGCTATTAAATGCCCACCTAGCCACTCTCTCTTTTCTCCTCCTCAGCAGGAGAGGGGGAGAAAATAAGACAGGAAAGCTCGTGGGTCAAGATAAGGATGAGGAGATCGCTCAGCAACTACCAGCATGGGCAAACTTGGGGAGGATTAATTTAATTTATTAGGAATTAATAAGAGAATAGGATAGTGAGAAATAAAACAAAAATAAACCCACATTCCCTTTACCTCCCTTCTTCCCAGGCTCAAATTCATTCCTTTGTTCCTGGCTCTTCTACCTCCCTGCTCCACCAAGGGGATGGGGCATGGGGCTTGTGGTCAGCCCTCTTCCCACTTCTTCTCTGACCCTGGTGTCTGCAGGGATGTTTCTTTCATGGGTTTGTTTTTTCTTACTCTACTCTCTCACAGCTGTTGCACAACTTTTTTTTAACCCTTTCCTGAATATGTTATTACAGAGGCACCACCGCCTTTGCTGATGGGCTCAGCTGTTTCCTGCGGTGGGTCCGTTGGTGCTGGCTGTATCAGGCTGTGTACAGCGTGGAGCAGCCCATCCTCCTTTCACAGAGGCCATCCCACAGTCCCCTCTGCCAGCACATGGGTCCTGGCACCCAGTGCAAGCCTGTAGAAACCGACTGCACTGAACCACACGCATCATGATTTTAAATATTGTTCTTGCTGTGGCTCAGAGCTGAAGCTCTTCGTTTTGCATGGTTTTGCTCAGTTTTGCTCAAATGCCTCTGAAAGTATTTATTAGCATATTGATAGTTTTTATTAGCATACAGTACTGTTTGCCCCTCACAGGAAGAATGTTCCTTTCAGAGGTGGGTGGGCATAATGAGTTACTTAGTCATTGCAGCTGAGTGCTTTAAAATTACATAGCTGTAGACATGATTTAATACAGGTGTTGAAACATCTCATGTATATGCAAGTATACAATTTTGCCAAATGAACTTGGACATTTTATTTAGTCATGGAAAAGGTAAGATTGTCCAAACTTGGGTTTCAGGGACAGTAAAGGACATCTTGGGATTGCCATTATTGGCACTTTAATATGTTTGAATAAGGGTCCAGTAAATTTAATTCATGTATAATGTCATCATAAAGTTTACTCCTCACAGTTTTAGTCTACTGTTAACTCTGAGATTGTTCTTTTTTTATTTACTGAGCTGTTTTATTTGTGACTGTGCAGACTCTCTCCTGAATCCACCAAACCACTTGCTCTATAGGCTTTAATTTGCCACTGAAATTATTTATACTGAATAAAAGATTAGTCTTCCCTGTGGCTGAAGACAGCCAGCAGATCATACACCTTTCCCAAGGCATTCCATGTTGACTTGAAAAGTGTTATAGTGTAACTGAAATTTGAATATGCTTGTTAGATAAAGGATCAGCCTGTCTTAATTTTCCTGATTTCAGGGACATTCCCAGAATACCTGACAGCACACATGCACAGCTGGAGTCCAGTAAGTTTCAATTATGGGGTAGGAAAATCTCTCTCTTTTATGTAAGCACAAAAAGATTGAAAAATGTCATCTGTAGTCAGTATAGCTTTTGTCTCTTTGTCCATATTTGTCTCAGTATGTCATCTTACTGTATTATCTATCTACCTCTGTTTAATAATGAACTATCAAAAGTCAGGATATTTTGATTTAGGCTTGACATTTGGTTATAGGCTTAGGCTATTTTTTATTGAAAAGAAAAGTATAATTCTAACTAATATACAGAAACATTAATAATATTTTATCATTTCCTGTTGTTTTGCATCTCAATTGAACCGTGTAAACTAAAAATGGTGATGAAATGTTGTTTATTTACAACCTGAGAGATAGCTATTTTGAAATCAGAATATTTCCACTCTATCAGAACCATTCAGCACTCCTTAAATTGGCTAACTCAGTATTTCATGTGAGGAAAATTACTTGTTCTTTGGCTTGATGTGATATGATGGATTTCAGCCTGGAGTTATTTTTTATCATTGTTTTAGAACTCTTTTATAATAGAAGCTATGAATAAATGCAGTGGCAGAAACTTGATTATAATAATATGACAAACTCCAAAACTTTCCACTGATCAGCCAAGTCTTAAAATCCATTTTTATGTTTTGTGAAATGTGGATTGTCTTTTGTATTTATAAAAATACTTTAATTTTACTCTGTTTTAGATGTCAAAACTTGTCCTCTGACATTTTGCAAACCTTGTAGGTTTGAAAACAAAATGCACAAAACTCATTACATGCATCTTGATGTTCTTTGTAAAAAACTAATTAAAAATTTGTCTGACTGTACAAAATAAGACTAAATTCTTTTGACCACAGTTAAGTATTTACTTTACTATGTAGGAATTTTGGGCCTTTAACTTACTGACATGATTGTGGTCAGAATTATCTGACTAAGCTTTTTCTTACTCTATAAATAAAAGCTTTTCATTGCATGTGAGCAGCAAAAGATTTAGTATCATTATTTGATAATTTTAAATAGATGAAAAATTTACATTTCTCAAAGCCTTATTGTATGTTGGGTTGTATTTCTACAATTTTTATTTAGAACGTGTTGTGGAAAATTGATAAGTGCTACTATTTATGTAGTATTTTATTTATGATTACAGGTTCTAGTTCATTTGAATCTCAAAAAATGGACCGACCTTCTATTTCAGTGACTTCTCCTATGAGTCCTGGCATGTTAAGGGATGTTCCACAGTTCTTGTCTGGACAACTTTCAGTATGTAAACATTTCATTGATATTACTGTTGTGCTTTTTGCAGTATATACAACTCTCACTGCAGAGTGCAGGTTTCTTGTTAAAGTAGCTAATTTTTTTTATCTCAGAGTTGACAGGGTCATAGTTTCATAAGGGCATTCTATTTTATTAATTTTTGGAAATTTTATACATGTTGAATTTGAGATGTATATGTATGTATATTTTTTTACTAAGGTAGACTGGTAGAGTCAAATTTTCAGAAAGGTCTCATTGTGGCCTCCAGTTACATTTGTGGCGTTGAGTGTATATACTTTTTCAACTGTAATACTTACATGAACAGTTGGTAGATTTTATTACCTGTGTGCTTGGACATTAATATTGCTTATTTCTTATGCCTTAGCTTTCATATATACCTTTCCCAGATCTTTCTTTGTTTTTTTACTAACGTTACTTTGGTTGTATTCTTTGTACCAGTGTTACTCACTTTTGTTCTTCACTTGTATTGAGAACAAAGTACATTACATGAATGTTTTCTTGAAAATGGTAATTTTTTGTACTAAAGTGAAGTTTTGTACACTTTTCTGTGTCATTGACAATTCCAAAGTGTGATTTTTCAAAAGTGCTCAGTTGTGGCCTGGTACATGTTGAAAAGGAGAGGAAAATGGAGTAGAAGCAGTGTAAAGCTGGTACTAAACATGTTTAAAAATGTCACTTTCATATTTCTTCCAAGTTGGTTGAGTGCTACATTAAAATATGCATAAAATCTAAGCAGACTGTTTAAAGGTCTTACAGAAACGGTTTATGGTATTGATAGAGGAGAGGAAGAAATGGGTCATTTTCAATTCAGCAGCCATGTTGGCTCCATTTTGCAATGCATGAGACATTATTTGTTTTGCTCATCAGCCCAGCCATCTACAGTATATAATTTTGAATTTTCTGTAACTATTTTACTTAACTACTTTGAAAGACTCAGTCCTTTGGATAAATGAAAAACTAGAAATCTTGACTGTAGAGTGCAGAGTTCTTTGCACAAAATGCAATTACAAGAGAACATGAACTGTCAAAATACACTGACCAAGGTTTCTAAAAATCAATCTAGTTTTTCAATGCAGCGAAAATTGTTGATAGTGGAAGTGAGGGAAAGAAATCTCGTTTGGCTAAATATCATAAAAAACTAGGCTAACAAAAATTTTTGGTTCCTAGCTCCAACCATGAAATTCCAGGTCTGTAGTTAGCTGCTCAGACACCCAATGCGCAAGGACTGTGGAATGATGGTACGAATAAGAACCACACAGAACTGACTTCCTCACTTTCTCAGGTTCAGAAACAAAATCTTTGCGAGTTGAGGATTTATTAGTAAAGTCAGTAAGTCTGTTGATTTTGTGGTTTGATTGAATATTGCAGTTTGAAGTGTGTTAGAATAGTATCAGGAGATTTGGAGGTATGTTCTCACAATGGAATTCACAAGGTTTTATATCTTAGAACGGCATATAAATTCAGTGCTTAACTCAAGAAGGCATCATTCCTATTTTGAATTGCTTTTCTTTTTGCTTGTTTCAAGATATAAATGCCTTTAGTAATAAATTTATAACACTTCTTTTCATTTAAGGAAACAAAATGTCAGAAGACAGTTAAAGATCTTTCCTGTGTTTGTCCTCTTTGTACTTCCTTGTGTACTGTTTGCAATTACCCAGTACTCCCTACTACACAGTATCCTTATTTCCTTCAGAGAGCAGCTGATCCCCAAGAACACACAGCTTCAGTCGAGTGACACTGATGTCAGAAATACTCAGTAACTCTCTAAAGTCCCACTGTCTCAGTGTTGACACCTAACATTAGTAGACAGTTTGAAGGTTTGAATGCTTATCTTACTTCACCAGCTAAAGAGAAGTTGTAAATAGCTGTATCTCATGTTAATCACCTTAATGGAACAACCTAGCTCCTGCTGCTGTTGGCTCAAAGCTTTGTGAGGCTAGTACTAAAGTGTTTGCTTTGTGAGGAAGGGTGGCTTAGCAGAATCTCTGAACATGGTGTGGATAGATAGTAATGTAGCACCTAGCTGGGCACATTGAAATGCCTTGACTAAAATATATTTTCAAGATTTTAAGAGAACTGAAGTATTCAACAGGAACATTTTTTCTTTTCCTTTTTGATCTGATATTTCAAGTTTGTTTAAAAAATCACAAATTTTTTTACTTTCAAAATTTAGGCACTCGTGTCTAGAGGTAGTGCAATGACTATTTTTTCCTTCATTTTTTAAAATCTTGATTTGTTATTTTATGACTTCAAGCAATTTTGAAACTTTGTAAGAGTGAAAAAAAACAGCTCTTTGTAGGGCTGGAGATGTTTTGAAAAATTTGAATGGACTATGAGATCTAATTTTGGACCTTTAGCAAAGCTGAAGTAAGAGAGGAAGATTGAATTTTAAAAATCTCCCCTGTTCAAAAATATATTTCAATTTCAACACTACAGAATGGGCAATTTTCAGTATCTTGATTTTCCATTTTTTTAAATCAGCTTTTTTTCTGACAGAACAGTTGATGGAACACTCATTCATTCTGAATAGCTGAGTATGATGGAAATTAAAGGAAATACTAAATTCCAAATTTATTAGGGATGTGCTCTTTATGGTGAATGCCTAGCAGGAGAATAACTGAAGAGCCCTGGCAGTAGATGGGGACAGAATGCTGTTCTGTGTGGAAGTGGGAGGTCAGCTCATATTCTGGGTGATGGTAGCTGAATTCAGACATGTGTGATGAATTTGAAGGAAGGAATGGTAGGCAAGATTTTGGAAGTGTTTTCTGTATTTTCTGAACTTCTGTTTAATTCCATGTAGTCCTGGTGGGCTGCTGTTAGGGCAAATGTGGTTAGTGGGCTGTGAAATCCAAGAGCTGTGGGCAGGAGTAGAGGTACCTACAGTTCAGATGAAGGTCTAAAGTATTTGACTAAATAGTTGCATATATGCAGACAGTGCTACAGATCCTTCAAGGGTTTTAACATTAATAGTATTTCAGAATGTATTTCTTTATGTTCAGCATGTTTTTAGCCAGTTTAGCTGCAGTGATGCCCCTCTATAATTCAGGGATATGTATCTCTTCAAGTCTTCTGTGTTTTCCTTATTGACATTGGTCTACCTGTTTATTCCCCTTGAGGCTACAGTGGCACTCCACAACTGGCTAGTAGGATTTCCCATGAAGCAAACCATATCACATAGCTAGGAAATCTCCTTTCCATTAACCCAATATGTATTTGATTGAAAAAAAATACATGCAGCTATGGCAAACTATTGTCTTATAGTTATATATATATGTTTTATATATTATCTGTATTCTGTAGAATTTGTAGCATTTTTGATTCACACTGTTCTTTCAGGGGAGTATGTGACTGTTACTGCAATTATTGCTTCATTATTTGCTTTGACTGGTTCCTCTTTCTGTGATTTTCCACTGATTTGTTTTTCCTTTAATACCATTTTGAAAAAGTCAGTATCCTTTGTGTGTTGGTGCTCTTTGCTTCATTACTGCATTCTGGCTACTTTTTCAGTACTGCATGAAAGGTATAACTTGGAATGCTTTTGCAATAGTTAGGTTTAGAGACTGATGACTACAAGACCACGTAAATGGATACAGGTATAAAGCTACGATTTTTCTTTTTTGTACTGCTGGAAATTCTAACAGAAAAGGAATGGAATTTATAAAATTAATCTATTTCCTTGCACAGCTGAACCACAGGACCACTTAAACATACATACTCAGTTTATAAAACAATAAAAATAGAGGTTGATTAATTATAGTTGTAATATATGTAGCATATTATGAAGCAGATATTGTACATTGCAAAGGACATATTGGCATATTGGGGGGATTAGGTTGAGTATGAGATGTGCTTCCTTTCCCCCTTTTGCCTTTTCCTTTTCCCCTTTCTTTTTGACCCTTTGTACCTCTACACAAGTAAATTTCTATTGCCCTATCAACAAACCCTGGAAAATTTTTAGGTAGGACACATAATGTGCTTATTGCCTTCCATTTTCCAAGGCAGAATATGGCAGGTGAGAGTCCTTGAGGCACGATGGGAGAGTTTCTATACCTTTTAGGACTGTGATATTATGGGGTATCTGTATTTCTCTTGTAATATGGAGGAGAAGCAAGCTAAAGATCTACTTCACACATTTTATGGAACAGGTTTCTCCAGCATCTATGCAAGCCAAGTAAGCGAGGAGGGTGGCAGAAGGATTGTCACACTGCCTAGACCCATAATTTGGGTACATTTCTTATGGAAGGGACTACTGAGTAGTAGCATCTTTCCATCACTTCAAAATAGATCAATAAACTCAGGAAAACAGAGCAGGGAAGAAAATCAGATTCAAATCTGTCAGACTGCTGCAATTTTTGTGACCTACTCCCCCCACTCACTAGCACTCTGAGGATCACAGAATGGTGGAGGCTGGAAGGACCACCAGGGGTCACCTAGTCCAGCCTCCCTGGTCAGGCCAAATTCCTATGCATTCCCTAGACTCTATATCCTTTCTGTGCCACTCCATTTGTTGTTTACCTGAGGTGAAGATGGAGAATGGTTGATTAGAGTTTGTAGATAGTCCAGGAATTTAGGAGAGTTTCCTGTACTGTTGTAATCTTGATGTAGCCACTGGAAGCCAGAAGGCTGTATGTTGTCTGGGATAAAGTGTTACATAACAAAAAACCAAGTTATAAATGCATCTATGTGTGCAATGCAGCTACTAAGTTTGCTAAATGCTCTAGATCCCATTTCATGCTAGGGTTTTCTGTATATACCATACGTCATTTCTGTCATTATTGCTAGAGAATTGAAAGACATTGATTATACCTTCACCCATGTAATGCTAATACCAGATAGCACTAACTTTCTTTGAATCTTTAAAAAAAATATTTAGGAGGGCTTTTTACAGAAATGCCCCTTAAAATAGCATAAAAGAGAAAACCTTTTACTTTACTTGCTTTACTCTAGAAAGCAAGCAAACCTGACAATGTTAGAAATGTACTTGATTCTGGCTCTGAATATGCATCTATAATCTTTCTAAAAGAGATGATCTAGCTGAACTTATTTTTGCTTCCCCACTTTTAAATCACACTTTGCTGACCTGCTCCTTTTGTTAATGTTATTTTTTAATCTACTGTAAATGTTATCTGTAGATCTGCAAAGAGAAATCCTTGCTTCTGGGAAATCAGTGGCAAAATTCTTGCTGACTTCCCTAGGGCCACAATTTCCGTCACAGGGTTTTGATATGACTTGGTAACATATCTGCAGATTTTATTTATGCATTGCATTAAAATACTTTGTGTTATATAAATATGTTGTTGGTGTAAAGCTGTGTTTAAAGTAATAGTTGTGTGTCTTTGTTTTTACTTTTGGTCTTTTAGTTTCCAGCGTGTTGTCCTTTTTGGTTTTGTTTTATTGCTTTTTCTTTAATTTTGCTTACCAGAGCCAAAGCCTTAGTAGAAGAACAACGCCTTTTGTTCCTAGGGTTCAGGTAAAGACTTCGTCTGCCTGACAGAACCTAAAGTTGTGGGTTTTTCTTTTGTTTGTTCTGGAAAATGCATAGTAGGAAAACGTTACCTTATAGTCCGTTTTCCCATATTTTCAGTTTGGTGCTTTAAACCATATTAACAAGTTTCATGTCATCTTGTGAGCAGCTTGTAAAATTATGCATGGAGTTTAAAATATTAAATTAAAATTTAAAGAGACAACTAGTTTTTGTTTGCTGTTTACCCAGTAGTAAACTCGTACAGGTTTCAATAGTGATGATAGCTATGCATCCCACATACAAAATGTATGTACTGTTTAAGAAATAAGTAATTTTGTGCTTGACTTCATTATATAAAGATGAATGTCTCTTTAAATCATTCATTGCCATTACTTAACACATCTTTTTTTGCATTTTCCAAGTAATAGTAGCGCCTTGAGTGAAAGACAGGCAAAAAATTTGTACCTTGTTAAAGGAAACAGATTTATTGTGTATGAAACTTGGGTCTTGAATTTACTAAAGTTAGATCAAAATAATAAAAACTTTACTAAACAATAAAAAGTTCTCCCATTGTATTACTGAATTTATTTAGCTTTGGTATTCTACTTAGGTACAAGTTGTTTGCCTTTCTTTATTAGGAAACTCCTAAGGTACTGTAGATTAATGCTGAAGTAGGTTTTACTAATATGTTACAATGCTTATCTTGCTTTGCTGCTGCATGTTTTTCAGTTTTTTGTAAATAGAATATTATCTGCTTTTCTTTCAAAATGCCTTTATGGAGATGTTAATATTTTGTGTGGGAGCTGTATAAATGTTTCTCTTCTTTGATGACTTGCTCAAGGAAGATGTAAAGGATGAGCTAAATGATCAGAATGAGATGACTAAATTTCATATTGAAATGGAAAAGGATATCATATATATATTTATAAAGGAATTCTAAATAAGACTGTAGAAGGTGGTTTAGTTATGACTCATATTTGATAAAGTACAATTTTTTTTTCACAATATATTATTTCCTGAAAGTAGCCCTTTCTGCTTAAATGTAAATTAAAAATAAAAAATTCTAAGAAAAAGATTGAGATTAATAAGGTCATATCTTGATAGTATTATTTTAGGTTAATGCCTTATTTTGTACTACTGACATAAACTGGCTTTGTATTAAAAATTTAAAACATGTTTTAGCATGATTAAGAAATTTGGCTTTTGTAAATGGTAATGAAATCAAAGAGGGATATGAATTCAATCACAAGTTGCTAAGTAGTTCATAAAGGTAAATAACATAAGTAGTCTTTTAATATCTAATTTATTTTTAGATATGTGCAAAATAAATTAAGAATTTATATGAAAATTAATTGTTCAATTTAAAAAGGAAATGTCTGCCTGAAACCTGAATGTTTCATGAAATACCATAATGTAGAATTAACCTGTAGCAGTTCCTTTTTTTAATCACATTATATAAAATAAAGAGATAGACATTAAAAAAATCACGTCTACTTAAGCTACTCTCTTATAATTTAAAAAAATAAAATTACTTTGATCAAATTATTATGGTAGTCATTTAAGGAAATAAACCAAGTGTAATATTTGATAGGGAATATCCGCCAAGAGGTGAAAGTGTATGAGGCTTGTTCTCTCACCTCTGGCTGGATTATTTTTGGTGCTGTAGATACAAATTGTCTTTAGCCCCAGTTTTGTTTCTGCACAACGCCTGTGGACCTCTCTGATAGGTTTTTGCAGAGTTCCATAATGGTCAAAGCTAAACATAAAGTTTGTGACAGGAGTTCCAGAAGAATTCAAACTTAGGAGCTTGGCAGCATCCTTAACAAGACTGAAACAAGAAGTCCAACATCTGCTCACTTTTAGTAGGGATGGTTGATAGTTAAAAATGGATTAATTTAAGATACGTTTACAGTGCAGGCTGCAGAGAACAGATTCTCCAGTGATTCTTGAACAAGGGTATTTGAAGCAGTGCAACAGCTGTGCAGAATTCTGGGTACTTCTTGGCATGGGAAATTGGCTAACTCAGAGCGCTGAGCTCTGGTTTATGGTTGTCAGGAAGTATACATTACATTGTGGGCTGTGGTGTAGCTGCATCTGTAGAATTCCCTACAAGAATGAGGATCCCTGAACATCCTTTATACTTATTTGTCTCATTGCTCTCAACAGGAAATGCACATCTGTAGTCTTGCTTGCATCTTCTTTACTTGTTAGTCTGAAACTGATCCTGGTGATAAATGTCCCACATTCTGGCACAAGTTCCTCTTCCGCACTTCTCTCAATGTCATTCCATTCATTTTCTAGCTCTTGTATCACTGGATAATTTGAAACACATTTATTGGGAAGAAACCTGCTCAATTTCCTTTTTCCCCTACCATGCACCCTTCTCCTGAACTTTTACTAATTCTGCATTCTGCATTGCTTGGGAAAGTGTGAATTTGTTTCCTGAACTTTTGGATTCAGTTTAGCATACCAGCAATTTTCTAATTCAGAACACGAGGCTTTGCGATATCTGTGTAGGGAATGAGCTGTTCTTAAATTTGTGTTTTCCATAAAGTCTCTTTTGTTTACTTGGTGTGGCCTCCTTTTGAGCCAGATTTGCCATGAAACCACTGGGTTTTTTTCTGAGTTCAAAAATTTCAGACATTCTTTTTGCTTTAATACAAAACAACAATATATTTGATTATGTATAAAAATATATGCATGCATCTACTTGGCATTACTGAAATCAAGAAGCCACTAAACCAGAAATTTTCAAAAGAAATCTAGATTAGGGCAGCCTAAATAGTTTTCTGGCCTTCATATCCTCGAGGCTCTACAGTTTGACAGCCTTTTTTTTTGTATTTTTTCCAACATATCAGACAGCAACTGAAGCAGACATCAATGATAGTTTGGCTTAACAACCTTCAGTAGCTGGAATGTGTTAAAGGTATGTTTAGCAACATCCAAAGCTCACCTCAGCTACACCCAAGACTTTACCAGCTCAGGGCAGTGTCTGCATCTACATCAACTTAAGTCCAAATAAAATAATTGATGTAAGCATTTTTTAGAATCACCTGAGATAATATTTTATTTTCAACAACAGATCCTGCTGATCTGATACAACATACTCTGTTCAGGTTCAGAAAAATGCAAGAAAGAAAAATAGTATCTCAGTTTCAAAATGCTGCACTAATAAACAGCTGTGTAGGTTACTTGAAAAATTATAACGAACAACAGAGGAACAAATATGCCTGGCTAGCTGTCTTTCAAACCTAGTGATGTTTGGGTAAGCTGTGGTGGTAGAAATCAGGCTGCAGGGCAAGCAGTCTCTCCCAGTGGCACAAGTTTTATCTCTTTTCCATGATATGTGAAGTAACCCTTATATAACAAATAAAGAGTAAAATGTAGCATAGAATTATAATGTTCAAATATTCTGTTTTAAATCTTAAGTTATCACTTCAGTTATGGTGTGCCTTTATGTGCTGTACACAAAACACATTAGGATTGCATAGTTAAGCAGTCAAGTATTCGTTAGAATATATCAAGTAGCAATTTTATTATCTAGATTTTCTTAACTGATTTTGCTTATGAATATGTATTAGAGTATGGGTCCTAATCACATGGTTACTTCTTTTCTAGAACTCTGACCTCAATCAGATCTTTGAATAAAATTTCTTGTTGAGATAGAAAAGAAAAAGAATGAAATCTAGTGAGCTGAAATTATGTTCTAAATTCATATAACTTATGCTAGCTTCAAATAAGTCTGAGGTGCCTTGGGGAGGAGCTTAGATTTGTATAGTTGGAGGGAAGAACTAAGTACCTTAATATCTGTAGTGAGTTATCCAGCCCAAATAAAGGACACCCCATTAACTCTATTTTAAACTTAGGTTATTCCACAGGGTTAGTTGGCTCTCCAGAGGGAACAGTGCTTTTCTGATGCCACAGAGGACCAAACAGGAATACTAGACACTTGTATCCTCATTTCTCAGAATGCAACACCAGCAGTCAGCTTTTATATACCTTTCTATGTATAGGAGGCTCATTCCAGAAATAAGACATTTGCGATTTAAGCCCTGTTTAGACTGAAGAATTAGAGCCGGTCTCTCAGAAAAGTGCCTTTATAATCAAGCTGTTGTACATCCCTTTCTTTTCTGGAGTATGAATTCTCATTTGAAGCTGAAATACTGTGTGGCTGGGAATGTGCGTGTGAGGTGATAGCAAAGAAAGCTTAATTTTGGTGTAGCAGATTGCAGACCGGTTATGCAGAATATATATTGATCTTGTATTTGACCACTCTTGTTTAAAAACTGAAAGAATCCTATGAAGCTGTGACCAGACCCTCATCTCTTTTCCCCCTGATGACTACCCTCATCACCGGACTGCCAAAGAGCTCTTTAGTCTTGCTCTCTACATGGCAGGTAGTCTTACCTGGAAGCCTGTCTCAAGGAGTGCAACAGATGCACCACTTTACAGGTAGAAGACCGCCTCACAGTTTCAGGATATGCTGAATTTAGATGCCTGTTTGCCTGAATGTAGGTTACAACAGAAATTTTGTCAAGAATTATATTCACATCTGGCTAGGGAAGGAAAGTATATGAGTGTATGTGTAGTAATTAAGTTTCCAGGACTTCAACACTAAGTGAAAAGAAACCATTCAGGATCACTTCTTATGTGAATTCTAGGTTTCTACATCCTAAGTCTACCTAGGTAGACAAAGTCCCATTCAAGAATTTTTTTTACAGGTGTCAGCTCCCACATTATCAACAGCTAGCATGGTTTTTCTGTGGTGTGTTTTAAGTGTTGAAATGATCACTTTCCCTTCCCTTCATTTAGATCACAGTTTCTTAGATGTTGTAAGATTTTAAAAGTGCCAATGCCTGCATGTGTGGAAAACCTGCTGAATGGAGGGTTTGTAAATACTGCTGTTAGGCAGCTACTTAAGTCTTTCAGTGTTGAGCATCACATCTGTACATTCTTGTGGAATGTACACGCTATGGATTGAATAATTCAGTGTTCACTTTTTTATGTTAGGAATCATTTCTCATAAAACTCAAGAAAGCTATAAAAGAAAAAAATAATTTCCTCATCAACTTTTCAGTTATACGTGTGCTATCCCATATTCATTTTACACGTAGAATATGTATGGTATTCTGTAAGTGTAGTAGGATTGTCCTGCATTTATTGATTAAGAATTGAGAAACTATGATCAGAGTCTGAGACAACCAGGTTCTGTCCAGTTGTAATACACTCCACAGACTTCAATTCCAATACTTTACACTACAAATCAGGCTCCAGGATCTCATGCCAGACTCCCAGAAAATGAAGAACATGCAATTTGTAAATACTTTAAAAAATGTTTCAAGGGATCTGTGCCTTGATACACAAGGCCTCTGGGAAAGGGGAAGGGATGGAATCTAGTTCTCTTGGACTGCACCTGGCTGTCTTAATGGCTGGCCTTTTTATTTCTCTGTGAATAGAAAAGGTTCTTGTAGGAAAATTCGATACCATCTGAATATTGTCATGGTACTTGTGCACAGGAGAGTCAGAATTAGATCAGTCCTATTCCCAAACTCATTTTCCATGTTCAGTATGCTAGTTAAGAGCCTTGTTTCTCATTTTCCTCTCTGATTTTCCACCTTGACTTCTTGTCAGATTTTATTTCATCCTAATCTCTCTGTGCAATGTTATTTTGTACCAGTTACAGAATGGCTGTTTCTTTTGTCGCCTCATTCCATTTCTCATTCAGTCTGGGTTTTCCCCTCTGTCCTCCTGTGGTCCCTGACATTAGTGGTCTGATCTTCCAGTGTTTGACCAAGAAGCATCCTGTATCCATTACTTATCCAGTAATTCTGAAGGAGTTTCTGATTTGTTCCTTCTCTCTTCTTCTGACACCATGAGAATGCAGTCCAATCCTCCACCTCCATCGGGTTCTTTGTCCATTCTCTCACTTCCAGTTTTTCTTTCTTCTCTTTGCATCCAAGTCAAATGAATTCATGTGTTACAAGTGCATGTGCTGTATATATTGGAGTGCTAGCAGTGTGAACCCACAAGAGAATTGACCTTCTGCTCATGATTCTGCCTCCTGACCTATCCTGTAACAAGCTGAATTACAGAGAAAATATGTGCATTATGCAGAAGTTTTTCCTTTTTTTTCTTTTTTTCTTTTTTTGCAGTTCCAAGAGAAAAGTAGAAGGTGTAAGTCATCGCGAATTTGAGTTCTTGTTCTAAACCACAGGTGTTAGAGCATCTCAAAGAAATGGTGTCACATGATTTAACCTTTTGCTTAGAGTAATTCTCAAATATTTTTAGTGAAGTTTTCCTGCAAAAATTCAGTCTCAAACAAAATATAGTGAAGAAATACTTAGCTTGGATATGAATGCATATTTATGGTTATATTTTTGGCATCCATGTCTTGATTATCTCATCTTCACTTAGTAATAGTTTGTAATAGTATCTGAATCACATATATGCTGCTTTTTGCTTAAGCAAGGATAATTTTTCCTAAAAAGCAGATGAATATTATCTTTAGTGCTACTACCCCTGGAGTGTCGGATTAGCCAAGACTGTCCTTTGCCAAAGGACTCCCAAGGAACCCTGGGACCTTCCTTTTGTGTCCGAGTGCATTTAGTGTTAGAGAAATTTATGTTGACTCTTTTCAGAGATCATTAAAACTCTGCTTTGGATTTACACAGTTGGTGCCAAGCTTGCTACTTGTGATCTGTGGCTGGATGAAGATACCTAGTAGTCCAGATAAATTCTCAGTGTAGAAAAAACACTGACAAAGCCCCTTGCTTTGCAGAAACGTAGGAACAGCATCTAGAACTCTCTTAAATCTTATCAAAGGTAATTTCTCTCACACAGTTTTCTGCTTTAGAGCCCTTTACCTATTGGTACCAGAAACTTGTAAAATCAGTAGTAGGGTCAATGACAGGACAATAGAGAACAGTTATCCTCCCCTTTTTAGTATCTACTCAAACACTGCTGGCTGATGGCTACAGGAGTTGTGAGATCTGAAGTAATGCAGAAGGAAGAAGTACACTGCCACCATTGGTTCAGTTGGTGTGTCAGTGTAATCTCACTTACTCAAGTGTTAGGGAAATCACGCTCTTGGTGGGTCAGAAGTCTTGAGAATTCTGTCAAGACCTTTCTTTAAGTGACTGAAAGGCTGAAGGTGAAGAGCTATGACAGCAGATGGAGACCCTGCCTCTGAAGCGATGCAAGATGAGCACTGTCCCCTTGGCGTTGTTTACCTTAGCCACAGCGTATTCATGCCTAAAAGTCCACTTTTTGCTTGGTCATGTAGTTGGGCGTTATCCTCTTTGATCCCTGTAAATTCAGTCAAGAACAGTGTTTCCTCTAAATGTCCTAATTTGTCCTGTGTCATGGAAAGCTCCTCATGAAGACAGCTTCCCCTGTCAGCTGTAGTTATTAATACTACATTGGTACTACTATGTAGTGACTCCCTTGCTATTTGGAAGGCCTTGGTCCTAACTGCACCATGTCTCCCTTCCATGCTCTAAAATAGATGTATCTTATCCTTGAATGATGTGTTTGCAGCTATGGTATTCAAACTGAAATAGCTAAATAGCAGCTAGTTAAACAGGATAGCAGACCATGTCTAATACTGATTAATAATAATTTCTGCAGACGAGTAAGAGTAGGTTTTGCCTTGTTGTTGCTGAGTTGGACTGTGAAGAGTGTTGGGCTACTGGGCCTTGCTCTCTTACAATTTCTGGAGACCTTCTATAATTTCAGGATGAGTTTTTGCATCTTGAAAAATGCTTAGAGTTTTGAAATATTTATGGTCTTATCCCATAGTCTTTCCAGCACAACAGGACATGAAAAATTAATTAACTCATTGTGCATAAACTTCTTAGAAATGTATATATATGAATATCATATATCAGTAATGCAGGTAGTACAGTATCATTGCCAAGAGAGAATAATCCTAACCATCGTGAAAAACAATTAGTATGAAATACTGTACTTATTGTACAGGGATTTTTTTTTTAAAATAGCCACTCCTGGTACATACTGAAGCTACTATAGTATTAATTTATTTGTATGGTTTATTATAAATACAGAGCAGAACATGATCTTTTCTGTTTAAGTAACCAATATAAATAGAACCTTATGAGCAAAATTGATTTTAAGGATTGATATGATAATTTGTTGTTGAAATGAGTTCATTAATTCATATTTTCTCATTACAGATAAAACTGTGGTATGACAAGGTCGGTCATCAGTTAATAGTGACAATACTGGGAGCAAAGGATCTTCCTTCAAGGGAAGATGGGAGGCCAAGGAATCCTTATGTTAAAATTTACTTTCTTCCAGACAGAAGGTAGAGTGAACACAAAGACAAGAAGCATTTGGGAAAGAATTAGTCTGATACTCAGACAGCATGCATAGCTGAGTTTACATATATATATATATATATGGAAAAATCTTACAATTTGGAATTTCTTTATTAAACGTGCTATGTAACAGCAGTATGTCTTTGAACACTAAACACATACTCACTTTCACTGGAGATTTTATTCAATACTGAATGGAAAAGGAAAGGTAAATCTATGTCATTGCACGGGGATCTGTTATTTGCAAATAATGTTATTAGTTTCTTAAAATATCCACATTTCCTTCTGGCAGTTATTCCAGCTTAGTGCAAATAAAATACTATGAAGTTAGATTCATACATTTCTGGACTCATCAGTCCAGCAGTCTGGGTTGCCCTGTGTTTATACAATGAAGTAGGAACAGGTTTGGCAGCTGAAACCCATAGATTTCATATCGCAGGATAGGTGACTCAGCCAAGATTCCCAGATGCACCTTGAAAACTTCCCATAAAGCACAGGACTGATATTAATCTGGACTGGCATTATATATCTGCATTTAGGGAAAATCAAAATATGGAACTGTGGTAGAGACCCTTTTTCCTGAATAGTTACTTCATTTTTTTAGTCCATGATTTTCAGCCATTTCAACTTAGGCAGTGAGAAGAACAGCAATTTTTTTAATCGGTATTTCCAAAAATTGTGTCAGTAAGGGAACATGTTTAGCTTATTTTGCAGCGTATCAACCAAATAAGTCAAAGATTTAACCTGACTCAGTATGTAAAAGATCGTTGTAACTTTGCAGTTTATGTTTTTAGATCCTTTGCTTTCCTAATACCTAAACTAGGAAGATGCTAACTATGTCCAGTACTAGTTGACTTCATCAGGAAACAAAGCTATTCAGGATTTTGGAAGACACTGCTTTTCCATTTTCACTGTTTACCAAAGGTTGACAAGAAAATTTGCTGTGACTGTATAATTTCCTATACCATTGATGACAAAAAGATTTTAGATGGATTGTCTTGAGCTCACCGATATTTGAACTATTTGACTAGGTTCTTATTCAGATTTCTGCAGTGTGTTTGGAGATGTTGAAGCTGTGCTAAACTGAGAACTAGGTCTGCTTAAATAATCTTCTCTGCTTTTTCAACATTAATAAAGCTACCAAAAATGTCTATGTTCAGAATGTTTCACAATGAAAGCTGTAATAACTAAAAATACATAGAAGAAAAATAATTAAATAATTCAAGTATACAGACAGGAAAAACTTATATAACAGTAAATTTTATCATGCTATACTAGTGTTTCTCCTTTATGTGAAGTATTAAGAAATTTTTCTTTAATTGTTGCATGTGTTTTCTATCACTTATGTAAGAAGCAGCAATTTGCCTTATGGACCTCTTATGGTTTGTTTTGGTTTTTTTTTGACATACAAATTCACTTTCGTTTTCTTAGAGGTTAAAGCAAAGTAAGCAACAACATATTTCTTCTGTAGTAGAAGGAAACGTGCCAGAGGTAAAATGCACTTAAATAAGTCAAGCGTTTAATTAGATGAAGATACTGAGCTCTCTTTTATTAAAAAAAATTCATTGGAAAAGGTTGTCCAATGTAACTTATTTTAGTTCTCAAGGGCAAACAAATCTTTAGTATAACAGAAATAATTGCATTATTTGTTTAATAATGTGTCTGAAATTATTATTTCTTAGTTAATACTTCAATTCAGCCTCTAAGTAGCAGTTCAGAAATGAAATAACTACATTACACTTGACTGTTTGTAAATGGAGAGTATCTGCATTGCTGTATTAAAAAATTCACATAAATTAGTATGCAGCTGCAGTATGCAGCAATCCGCAGGTTTAAAATTAAGCATTGTTATAAGAACTCTTGTCATCAGTATTCTCAGTAGAAGGAGCGTGGGTGTTTTCCAGTGAAACTTGTCTCCATCAGAAAATATTAATTCTTTCAAGCAGAAATATTCTGCAAAACACATTGCTTTCAACACCGTGGAGCCAGAGCCAGGAGTTCCATGGTAGCCTTGTATGGAGACCTTACCAGGCTCCACAACGTAAGGCCAACCTTTTAAGAGAGAGAGCCACCTTCAACCTGTGTGGCTCTTTGGGGTGACCCAAAGGATTTTGGGAACTGTTTTGAGAACACTGTTGCTTCCAGTCTTGCTGGAAAAAAAACATATGGCTCATTCTCAGGGCTTCTGGTTTCCCAGCGGTGGAGCCATTGCTCAGGAAAACCCTATGGGGAAGGCCCCACACTGCCTGCAGCTCCCAGGGCCAGCTGCTCCCTGCTGCTCTCCAGTTTGAGTCAGCCAATGTACAACTGGAAGTCTGAGTGAACCAGCTGGCTAGCTTATCTGAAATACAGATTTTTATTATACCCAGTGTTGTCTGCTTACATGTTCTGCTGTCAGACTGTGCCTCATGGAAATCCCATTTCCAGAATCATAAAATCAGCTAGGTTGGAGAAGACCTTTAAGATTATCAAGTCCAACCACTATATATATATATTGCTTTATAAGATGCTGGTTTCATAACAAGCATATTAAAGCTTTTCTAGTTTTCAGGGAACTTCTGAAAATTAGAATTAGCACATGAACTGGAAATCACCTAACATTATTTTTAATATGAAGTCATAAATTGTTCTCAATATATGTGCTGAATTTTATTTTATAATAAAGGATTATAGTGTCTCTAATACTACAAAATGTACTGCTGATTTAAGATTTCCTACTTTCCATGATGTGCTTATTACAATAGAATGGTCTTTTGAACATCTTTAATCTTTAATTGTGGGTTTTTTTCAGCGATAAAAATAAAAGAAGAACAAAAACAGTAAAGAAAACATTGGAACCTAAGTGGAATCAGACATTCATTTATTCTCCAGTTCATCGGAGAGAGTTTAGAGAACGAATGTTAGAAATTACTCTTTGGGACCAAGCACGAGTTCGAGAGGAAGAAAGTGAATTTTTAGGAGAGGTATACAATTACTGCTAATTATAGAAACACGGTTGCTCACATATTCATGTCTAGATACAGTAATTTTGCAAAAATGATTAAACGTGGCAAAGCAAAACTGGTTTAAATTGTTGAATATTTGTCCTTATTTCACTTAGTAGTAAACAAATGGTGATCTCGTTCTTATCACATAGTACTGTTATGAGATTCTTTCTGTTTGTTCTGTTTCAGTAACAGCATGCATGTGGTTTTTCAATTTCTTTTAGAATTGTTTTTTTTTTTTAAATCCCCATTATCCACAGCTATATTTTACTAAAATATTGGAATGTTGGTGCCTTACTTGCTGCAAGATATTTGAATGCTGTAAAGATTGTCATAAGTTAATGAAGGTTTTGTGAAAGACTTTTTGGTACATTTAGGGTTGTAAAAGGCACAGGAACTTCTTTCATGTTAAATGGAAGAGTTTTATAACGAGTCAGACAAAGCCCTTAACAATGAGCAAATAATAGAACAAAATTTATGAACATAGCTTTTTTTAAATAGCTGTATTTTAAAATAGCTATGTACAATATTCTGTTATGTAATGCTTTCCTAGTTTTAACCTTTTTTTTTTTTCTTTTTTAGATTCTTATTGAGTTAGAGACAGCGTTACTAGATGATGAACCTCACTGGTACAAACTTCAGACACATGATGTCTCTTCATTGCCACTTCCCCATCCCTCACCATATTTGCCACGCAGACAGCTCCATGGAGAGAGTCCCACACGGAGGTTACAAAGTAGGTTGCTAGTTTTACTCACTGTGCGTAGTTCATTTGAATTAATATGTAAAGTGTATTAAATTCTTGTAGCTGGGAAGCTGGCAGAATTCGTATGTTTGTTTGTAGCTGGTATGAATTAGTTCATTTATGATGACTGATAGTCTGACAATGCTACAAATGGCAATATTGAACATTGTGCAATACACCAAGTTTGTTTTGTTGTTTTTTTTTTTTAATGAGACTATCTCATTAAGTTCCTGAGCTTGAACAAATTATCTTGGTGTTTTGCAATGTGCTGTTTTTATCTTGAAGTCCTACCTTCTATACCATGTTTATAATTTCATTGTTTAAATATGCAGGACTTTTCTCCTACTTCTTAAGAATAAAGTGACCTGTATTTATCATAATCCATGACTAAATTAATACCATGGCTTGTTGCCTTATTTTGATTCTATTTTACATTCACAAATGGAATCACTTTTAATGGAATTTTCTTTTAGAATCTGGTATACTTGCTCCACAGTAGTTTGATGTTATCAGTAGATAATTTGAAAATAGAGTATATATATTATGCTAATAAAAATAGGTACATAAAAATGAAATAGTAAAAAGTAGAGATCTGTTTCCTTAATACTTGTTTCTCTAGTTTAACTTTGTTTCTCTAGTTTAACTGTTCAGTATTGTCAGTGATTGAAAGCTGTCCTTCACTGAATTAACAATATAAAGTATCAGTTGACACTGATATTAAATAAATGAAGAAAAGAACAAACCAAAACATATTTCTAAGAATTCTTAGGGGTTTTTTGAGTCATTGTATATGAGTTTGTTTGTGTGTATGTTACACACAAACTCACAGAAATACATGCATGTGTAGCCATGCAACCAAGCTTGGTCATTTTATATGTTCTATGTGGACTCATTAAATAATCCCTTGTATGTAAGTAAGTATTTCATGTAGTTGACAGGTTTTGTGTCTGTGCACTGGATGGTGAGAAGTATTAAAATGCTCCATATCATAATATTCTGAGATGGATACATTAACAGAGAGTTACAGCCTTCAAGCTGTAAGATAATACTTACCCACAGAAGAAGGAAAGAAATGGTGGTTAATAGGTAAAAGTTCTGTTTCAGTTCAGTTCTCTTCAGTTATCTCAAGTACCATGCCTCTTCCTCAAGTAAAGTTTTAAAATTATTTTTCTTCTATCTTTTTGGCACCTTGAAATACATTTTAGGAAGTTGAATTTTCCATGTAAAATTACTTCGCAGACCAGCTAGACATTTCAGTATCTGTTTGTATGTGAAGTTAGTGAACTTCTGGTTTGCAGGAAATACTCAGCCCTGCAATAATAATTCCTGCCTATATAATAAATAACTGCTATGAAGAATGAATTAAAGCGTAAGTGCTTTATTTGGAAAGGATTGGTGTAATATTTGACTAAAGACCTTTTTAATGATATTGACTCAAAATTTGAAAGTTTTTTAAAATACTAACACTAATGTTAATACTGAATGTGTTCAACTGAACAATCTTAAATGCCTGTCTGGAAATGTAGAGGGAAGGACATCTTAGTGTTTCACCATGTTTATTAAAAAGAAGTTCTGCTTTTCAGTGATGATGATTTAGCTTGACTGTTCCCAGAGTGGTCTTCGACAACTTGAGATTCTAAACATTTCAGCCAAATAAGCAATGTCAGAAGTTTACTGTGGTTGCTGGAGAATTCACATACTCCTACAATAAATTATGCTATTTGCATTTATACTGAGATAAGGATCCCCTAAGGAAGGATTTTCTCTAGTGTCCTGCTAATATATGCACTTCTCAAATCCTTGTGTGTCATAAATATATACAGGTACTTTTACATGCGCAGAACAAGGTCTCTTGAAATTAAAATTCCTCCTTTCTGGGGACTGGAGAGACATCCAAATGGAAACGTAGCATCTGGTCAGAGTTCTGCAAAGGCAGCAGAATCATTTAGCAGTTAAAAGATAAAATTATTTTAAAATTAGTGTCACACCTCTGAAATGAGAATAAAAGTATTTCTTGGTGTTCAGAGAAATGGTGGAATATCCTGTTGGAAATACACAGAACTCAACTGTACAAGGCCATAAGGAATAAGTTGGTCAAGGCTGAAATGGGTATTGCACCAGATGGCCTCCAAAAACCTCTTCCCACCCTAAATGTCATCACCAGAGGACTGTTGAAATGTGGATATCACATCGTATGACTACCTTTGCTAAGTAAAATATTTATAACATATTAATAACATATAGAAGTCTGGTTCTTTTAGGGTTTTTTTGAGGTTTCAAAAGAATGTCAAGTTAAACTCAGTATCTTGGGGTTTTTGTGTCTGAAGCATTGTGTCCTTCAGTAATAACTCTTATATAGGAAACATGTGTTACCCAGTGGCATATTACAACAATGTGGAAAAGTTCTCCAGAATGAAGAGAAAACGTGTCTAGCAAGTTTGTCTATCTTTTTCAAAGCACATCTTGTAGCATGTAATGTGCTGTTACACAGTAGGCTGATTTCAGTTTATAGGGCTGCAAAACCTGAACACTTCAGCCCTCCCACCTTTTGTTCATTTTTGTGATACCTCTATGTATAGATAGTGATTGCAAGATGAAATACTTTACTGCATGTCCCAAAAAATTGCTAGTGTAAGATATAACAAGAGATATTTTGGATTACAAGGTTGTTTGTTGTTTGTATAGATACACATCTACACATCTAAGCTTTCTTATCCTCATGATTGCGAAGTAGCTATAAATATTAAAATTGAAGACAATACTTACGTGTTATTCTCTAAAGGTAGTTTAAAAGAACCACCTACGCTTACTACTTCTCTTTTTAACATCACTGAATTGTACTTTTCCTGAAGAAGAGCAGGCTGTCTGCTCTGAAGACTGAATTCCTATATTTACCCACTGCCAGTAGCAAAGTGCAAGCTTCCCACAGAGCCCCATATGCCATTTTTTATGAACCAGCTTTCAGAGACAGTAGCTTAGTTTCTACATATATTTATCTTTCAATAACTTTGAGTAGGCATTATGTTGTGGTACAGACTGATCTAAAACAGCTGTCCACCTTCTCGTGCCCAGTCCTCTGATCCATACAATCCATTAACTTCCTAATGATGCTTTTTCCTTATATTTTTTAAATAAATCTACTTAGAAACTGAAACTAATATAGAACATAGAATTATGGCTTCCTAGGTCGTTCAGCTAATTATACTCTAGATTTTCATAAACTGACTGTTTCTTATCCAGTGAGTATATTTTAAACTTTTTCTTATGTGAAGTGTGAGGTACAGAGTAGGTCTATTTTACTTATTGTGCTGAACTTCTGAAGTGAATTTTTAAAATGACTTAATTTTCTCTAAAGTTTGGCATAAAATCAGCCATACCGTAAGAACTGCAGGCAGCATTAACTAGAATTACAGACAAACTGAACTTTTTATATTGCTTCTGAAAAGAGATTGTAAACAGAAAATTAAAGAATCATAGAACAGTTAGGGTTGGAAAGGACCTTAAGATCATCAAGTTCCAACCCCCCTGCCATGGGCAGGGACACCTCGCCCTAAACCATATTACCCAAGGCCTCTTCCAACCTAGCCTTGAACACTGCCAGGGATGAAGCATGCACAACCTCCCTGGACAACCTATTCCAGCGCCTCACTACCCTAACAGGAAAGAATTTCTTCCTTATATCCAATCTAAACTTCCTCTGTTTAAGTTTTAACCCATTACCCCTTGTCCTACCACTACAGTCCCTAATGAAGAGTCCACCCCCAGCATCCCTATATGCCCCCTTCAGATACTGGAGAAAAAGAATATTTGGGAATTCCTGCTTTTGTTTAGGCCACAGTATTATTGGTGTATCTCACATTAGGTAAGAGGCTTACTACAGATTGCATTGAAAACTGAATGTCATTTTAATGTGTTCATAGTTGTAAGGCTCAATGGGATGCAAGTTGTTAGTATTACTATTTATTGAGAAGTGCTACAGAAATCAAGTAGGCTTTATACTATGGGATTACAAAGCAAAAAATACTTCCTCTCCATGTAGCCCAGAATATAGAGATAACAGACATCAAATTGGTTCTGAGACATTCAATCTTTTACAGTTATGTTCATGTAATGTGTGCAGTGTGTAGTTTGAGGTGGTACTGTTTAGCTGACAAAGAATACTGGGATATAATGTATTTTAAAGAACAACAATTGGTTTTAGTTTTATACTGACTCTGAATATGGTTTAGAAGCAGATTTTTGTTTTACTTCAAATGTTATAAGAATTTCCTGATTATTTAGGCCTAAAAGGAGCTGATGATAGTTTTCTAAGATTTTTCAACTTTAAAACCAAGCTGTCTGAATTACTGATCTGCATACCATGGAGTGTACAGTGCAGACCACTGCTAAGTGCCCAAACAAGGGAAGAAATGTGACTGCAACGGTAGAAACAGACATTTTCAGATCTCTAGCTGCAGCACAGGTATGTACAGCCGTGGAAGGAGAGCTTTTAATTGCCTTGCGAATGTACAATATGGTTTGAAAAACCAAAGGGAAGTTTTATAATTTGAGCATCCTCAGTAAGGGATAACTAGTAAATCTATGTGGGATCAACTGCTGCAAACAAGGTCTAAGAGATTTTAGAAATTACAGTGTTTAGAAATCAACATATATAAGTGTCCTAAATGGTGAATCAAATTGTGTTATTTTCAAGAACTGAACACCAGAAAAATCTGTCAGGATCAAAATAATTGCAAATAAATGGTCTGTGAAGTAGCTTTCTTTTAAAGGGTGTTTGAATTTTATTACTTTTAGAATTAACATCATTGATTACTCCATTCACTAAGTTTCATGATTCTTAAGGCATATAAAAATTTGGAAGAAGAAAAATTACAGTAATGATTATTTAAATTGTGGGGATGAAAAATTAAGAATAGTTGTGTTCTACAAAATAATGTGTGGATACTGTGCAAAAAACTACAGATAATGTTGCTTTTTTGAATTTTATTTATTCATTCAGATGGGAATAAAATATTCTGTAATGCATAAGCAAAGTTTTTGCATCATATAAATAGTTTTTCTCATCTGCCTTTGTCAGCTTTGTACATTTTTCCAAGTCAGAGCTATTTTTTCTGGGGAAATGATAAAAATTATTACATCTGACTAGAAAAAACAGGTTGAGAGCCAGAAGTCACAAATAAACAACACCATTGCATATTAATTTTTGAAAAATATTTTTAGGTGGATTTGTCATTGCTCAGTGCTGAGGGATTTTCTTTGAAAGTTCTGTCTCTGTACCATCAAATCACAGATGAGTTGAATATTATAACTGATAATTCAAGCCCTCTCTTCTATTATTTAAATGTTAAAATTTTCAAGTCTGCATTATAAAGCATTTAAGAAATACATTTAGTAGTACATAGAATCATAGAATCATAGAATAGTTAGGGTTGGAAAGGACCTTAAGATCATCTAGTTCCAACCCCCCTGCCATGGGCAAGGACACCTCACACTAAACCATGCCACCCAAAGCTTTGTCCAACCTGGCCTTGAACACTGCCAGGGATGGAGCATTCACAACCTCCCTGGGCAACCCATTCCAGTGCCTCACCACCCTCACAGTAAAGAACTTATATCCAATCTAAAAATCATTACCAAAAATCATTAATTACAATGATACAATGTATCTGAAAATTTACCCTGTGAAATCTGAGCCCTGCATTTGAAACCCCAGTTGTCAAATGAAAGCAATTGACTTCTTCATGACTCTGTGGAGTCTCATTTTACTGTAGAATCAGGATCTTGCTGCCTCAGCAATTTCCTTTAGTTTGTTTGGAATCTGGTAAGTCAGTAGGATGATTTTAAATCAATGTCAGTGAATCTTACTTGAGGGAATTATAATAACGCTGTTCACTAGTAGGTAATGGAAACATGCATCAGTGACTCTTTTAAAATTATAATATGGAGCATTTTGTGGTCAGTGACACAGACCGTGAATGATGAATGTATTATTAAGGATTCTATGCTAGAAAGCAAAAATAACACTTATTTTTTTCTCTTTCACGCTTCTTCCTTAATTTTTCTATTTCTTTTATGGAGCAAAGGCATTGGGCATGTTATCTTTGACTGCATGCATAGATCTTTTGTTCACATAATATGGGTATATACACCAGTACTATATTTATTATACACCTATTATTTATTTCTAATATTTATGGTACATCTATGGTTTATTAAATACTTTAATTAAAAGGTATTTAACATGATACAGGGGTGTCTGAAAAGGCCTTAAACTATCAAAGTATTTTTCTTTTTCCTATGAAATAAACCTATTTAAGGTATTAATTCTATGCTGTTTGAAAATTAAAAAAAAACTTTAAACAATTTTAATTAAACTACAAAAATACTTAAAAACCTGTTTTGAAGCAGTTTAAGGGAATTTGATTATTTATAACATTGTTGCTCTGGTTACTTGATAGAGTGATGTTATTAAATTACTCTTCTGTCATATAATGATAAAAGAAAAGCAGTGTTCTTTACTGAAATAACTTGACAGATAGGGTAAAGCAACCTTCATAGGCAGTTGATAAATAACAAGTTAAGTTTCCTTCAAAAAGATTCTAAAAGTTGTAGGTCCATATAGTAGCTTCCTTTTCTGGCTAAAGGTAGTGTGTATTATTATTTTATTGTTGTTGAGGCACAATAAATTATCATATAGCAGTGTGATGGTTCTGATGAAGTTTTCAGATAGGTTTAAAACTTTTCTGACTTTTCTGTGTTGTAACCGTACAGAAACAAACATGGGCTTCCTTAGTCCTCAGTCCCATTATAATTGCAGTACTTTTATATTCTTGTGCTCTTCAAGAAGCTCTACACTTTTACAGATCTTTCCAGAAGTTAATTCAGAATGTCCATAATTTTTAATTATGTAATCAATTTCTAGACTGCGTTAACGGATTTTTGTGGCTTTCTGATGTTGCTGGAGTAAACTGGAAAACTTGCTCATACTCCGTTTTTCATAATTTTTTACCCAAAGAAGAGTCAGTTTTGCATGAAATTTGTAACTGGAAGAGATTAATACCAAGCAATACAAATATTAGAGAAGTGATGTGGTAAAACTCACATCTAGAAGTTTGTAAATGATGAAAAAATACCCTGTTATTTCTTTGAAATTGTATAGCCTAATGGAATTACGAAGCTGGAGCATGAAAATTATGTTTATTAAGAAACCAAGTCTGAAAACATAAACAGAAGTTGTGAATAATAGATGATTTAGTGATATGGTATAGATATTCAAATAGTTAGTACCTGGATGTCAGAAAAAGTGTGGCTAGGAGATACCTAGTCACCCAGTGAATTCTTCACAGAATCAGTTTGCAAGTATTTGAAAGTCTTATTTTATCTCTAACACTGTCACATCTTGTCACCTGAGATGCATCATTTACTCATGGACTGTCAGTCTATAATACTGTAAGGAATAAAAATGTTCATGTCTTACTAATGGCAAGATAACTCTTCATGTTATTCTGACTTCTGGGCTTGTTCATACTACCTTATGGAAGTCCCTTATACAAAATCTGCAAACACAAAGTAACAATTCACATTTCCGATGTTGTCCAGATATTTGCATACTATTATTTTGTCAAGTTCAGAAAAACTAGTATGACTGCACGGAAAGCTAAAATGCATAAACCAGCCAGACTTAAGGAATGAAAACCATAAATCAGGTATTACAAGTATTTAATCGTGCTCACAACAGGACTCTTAAATTCACTGATAACAATATGTAGATATGGTATTCATGTATGTACATATTTACCAAATCAAGACCTAGCTGGAGACAGAGGATTGTCTGGAACATAACTTCTGAGTCTGTTAAATTTAAAGTAGGATTTGTAGCTACATCTCAGGAAAATTCTGCTACTAACTTCCTGCTGAGGTGCCCATAGCAGTGTGCAGTAACTTTAGCGTAGCAGCTTGTATTATATGCCTAGTTGAATAGTTTTGCCCTTAGAAAGTTAAATGCTTGCTTACAGTAAATGTGCAGTTTTATTTCAGAATTGGAAATGACTATAATATCTCCAGTAGTCCGCTGTGACTACTAAATATAAATGTTAGTGTAGAAGTGATTGGCATTTTTGTGGTTTAATTTCTTCTAGCTGCTTGAGTTTTATTATTTTGGATCAATATGCCCTACCGTATCAAATTCTTCAGTTTTGAGCAGCAATTATAATAGAAGTTTAAGGTTATAAACATCCCTGTTACATGTATTGATTCATGTATTTTTCCCTGACACTACTTCATTTCAATATTTGTTTTCCAGATAAAGGCTTATATTCATATAACTCAGGTAAATTTCCAGCATGCAAAAATGCTTATTGTTTCCATATACATGCAGATTTTAATTTGGTAATTTATTGGTGTGCTTTTGCTACCTACTGTGCGGATGCTAAATTGTTTAAATGTTTCTTGGCTTTTATTGTCCGCTTTTCATTTGTAGGTTTTTTGTTGGCTTTCTTTATCTTTATGTCTCTATATTGATTTTGGAGCAGTATTATAGCACTGTATTTGCTTTGCCTGCCTTTAGTTTAGGTAGAGCCTTGGTAGGTAATCTGTAGTGAGCTTTAGTAACTATACTAGGAAAATGCTATTTTGCTTAAGTTATATTAAAAGGAACTCTGTTGTATTGCAGCTATTTGAGAAATAGTGTAAGTATTTTTAGAATACAGACATGGGGTGGATAAGTAAATATTGGCAAAATAGGTATTTGCACTGATACATATTTTTACAGTTTCATATTGATTTAAATCCCCACTTACAAATCCAGTTGCTGTATCTAAGAAGTTTGCCTTAACTAAATATAAACAAATTAATAATGTACAGTTTTTTAAAAGCTTAAATGTTGTAGTGCATTTCATGTGGGAATTTTTGCAGTTCCGGCATTTTTACTTATGGGAATCTCATTGAGAATTAGTTCATCTAATTATCTTTTCGTTATGTTTAAAAAGTGAAGCGCACATTGGTAAGAAAATAGTTCCAATACCATGGTGGAGCGAAACAAAAACCCCACAGGATGTTTCCTGAGAGCGGTAATAATAAAACTCAGTTTCCATTACATCTAGCTTTAGTCTCCCGTGTTTCTTCTGTTCCATTCTCTCCTGAAAGAATCTAACATTCTTCTTGTATTTTATGATATCTTAACGTTGGAATAGACTGTGTTTGCTGTGGTGACTGTGAATTTATCTGTGTGTGGATTAGGCACACATTTTATCTTAATACTGTTTCATTAAGGGATTCTGATTTATGTCTTTTCTGACCATTTTCAAAGATCTGGAGGAACTCAATTACATTTTTGTATTTCTACCCCTCTGTCAATGTAGATGAAATTGATCAAAAGCTTTAAATAAAAAATACTATTATCTGCAGGAGGATAAAGTGACAGATTGGTGTGGAGACAGCGGGACTGCATAAGAGATTAGTTCACACTAAGAACCTTCAGGCACAGACTGGATGAATGCAAGAGAGCACATTCTTAAGTCAGTTGTGAGACTGATTTTAGGGTTGCTTATCTGTCAGCTTTGAACGCAGAACGATTGCAGGCAGTGCTATGTTACTTTAAGTGGTTGTGAAGTTTTTCTGTGAGCTTCAGGGAAGAAGCTGATAAGCATGCTTACTACCCTTTGTTCCCCCAGAGAGCCCACAAAACCTTGTAAAAGCTTCCTGTAAGGGTCAGGATTCCCAGCTTGGGAAGCTCAGTTGCTTTCTTATTCCTCTTCAAGAAAAACAGAGAATTCTGGAGCCGTAAATCTGGCACTTCCTTCTGTATTTAAGCTTACTAACCTTAATTTTCTCTCTCATTCTGTCCCCTGCCCTGGTCTATTCTGGCACTGTATTGGTTGGCTATAGTAGGCTTCAGTAGTTTTAAACTTTTTGTGCTGGTCTTCTCTTGAGGCCTATATCAGAAGTAGTACTGGACAATATATGAAATACAGGAGGTATTACATCTTGCATTGTTTCCCCTGCATGGTAATAATAGAGTTGAGCACCACTCTGTCCCAACTTTAGTTGTCATGTGGATGTCAGAAAATATTTCAGAGATCTCCAGAGATTTTAGTTGCTTTTCAGAAAAATGTTTATGATTGTATGTAGTTTAATTCATTTGGAAGAGTTCCAGTTACTTAGATTATTGTTACGGAGAGAAACGTGATTTTGTCAAAGCAAGATAGCGCAGCATGGTTTAGGTGGAAGGGACCTACAAGAGTCATCTAGTCTTTTTGCGTGGGCCAAAAGTTAAAGCATGTTAAGCGCATTGTCCAAGTGCCTTTTAAACAGTAACAGGCTTTGGACATCCAAAGAGGAATCTTTAAAAATTTCTTCAATGGTTTCCATACCTTTTTATTCAGAAGTTATTAAAGCTTTTCATGGTGACAAACACTGAAGCTTGTAAAAAGTTAACAAAAAATTATGATTCATAAAATTATATGACACCTCACTTTTTTCTTTACCTTATTGTTAGCCATGAAGATGGAAAATTGACAAGTTTTTACACTAAGAAACTACTGTATTTTAACTTATTTTCATGCCTAATAGAAAGAAAAAAATAAAATAATAGAAATACAAATAGTACTTTTTAACTGGAAATTGAAAATAATGGGCCTGATGATTTTTAGGTGGTGGGGTTTTTCCTAAACCCTGCAATGAAAGCTATAGTGCAAATGTTGTAAGTGTCCAGTTCTAGTGTGTCTATACTCTTGCAGTGTTGTCATGCTGGGTGGGTTGGTAGCTTGTTCATCAGTGGTAGCGAAGGAGGTAGGTAGGTGTGGGAGGGAAAGAGGGTTATCAAGTTCAGATGGGTTGCTTCTCCACTGTCCCTGAGATAAGCTCTCCCTGGAAAACAGTATCACTGATAGTTTAAAGCTATTAAATGAAAACTTGCCAAAGAGAGTAAGAATTGGGTGACATGGTTTAGTGCAAGGTGTCCCTGCCCATGTTGGGGGAGGGGGCGGTTGGAACTTGATGATCTTAAGGTCTTTTCCAATCCTAGCTATTCTAAGCTTCTATCATAATATATCTTTCTATGGGAATGGGGTTATGTAGAATTAAGGCATTTTTTATGTAGCTTTCACTAGGTAATCATAGAGCAGGGGCTCTGTTTTGCCTTCAGTCTCCAACTTTAATAACCAACAACCCTGGTGGAAGGCATTCAAAAGTCCATATTTACCATCTCCTACCTCCCAGTTATCAGACAAAATAGTAATAATATCCATAAGAATATATCCTTAATAAGCTGTATTCCAGTGCAGTGGCAGTGAGAATTAATGCCATTCCTCATGTTTGAACTCCCTCAAAGGAAAAGTTAATTATATGGAAACTATGTATAGCATCAATGCATTTATTTGATGCACCCGGTGTCCCAGGTGTTACATATGTAAACTTTACTGAATTTTGAATTTATGTTAGAATGGATTTAATCTTCTTGCTCTTGAAATAAGTACCATATTTTACAATGGTTTTGTCAAACACTTTAAAATATTCATTGAAATAACAGTTTCATTAACCATGTTCGTTTAGACTAGTTTCTGAGAGTCTTCATTGTCAAATTTTCCAGACAAATCATGAACTTCTCATTCACTATTTTATGATCAGTGTTTCAAATTGCTTAGATAATGAAGTGGTATTTTGAAAATATGTGGCTAAAGTGGGACTGAAGCCTAAATCTTCAAATTTACATGGTCAATAGGTTAAAAAGAAAATTACTGTCTAAAATTAGTATATAGCAGATGAAATTATTATTGCAAAAATTGTAAGAAATATTAAACTAAGCTGACAGGTTAGTTCAATAAAATTAAAATTTTATTTCAAAATTATACTGGTATTTTGAATACTCAGTTCCATATATGATGCCAACCTCTGCACTTTCTAGTTTGTTCCATTTCTGGAGTTAGTGGAAGATATATATTAAAATAATGTATTTAAATAAATATAATTTTATTCCTTTGCAGAAGTTACATATTTCAGGCAGCACTTCTTGGCATTACATATTTAATTGGCATGCTTTCCTTCCTCCATCCTTCCTGAAAACATTGATTTGTAAAGATAAAGCCGAGTAATTAATTCTGGTTTATATTTCTTCTGACTTCTTAACCAGCATTTTAATTTACATTTTTAAGTAAATGTGAAATATTACTTAAACATTAATATTTTTCAGTTGGTTTAATTCTCTTAGTAGTTAGAGTTGGCTTAAGGTAGCCTCTGCTTCTTAATAAGCTTCATATCTCATTTTACAGAAAAAACTGACATATTTAAGGGATGTCAGTTGTTACAAGAGACCCTCATCTTTGCAGTAGCAAAGACAATTGGAGAAAGCACTGAAATCTGATTCTTCCCTAGACTCTACTTGTCTCTACTCCTAACCTCAGGGCAGGTTTCAGTGGTGGCCTACTCACTTTCCCTATTCCCCAACTCTTCCCTGCAGCTTGAAGGGGAGTGAAGGCAGACATCTGTGTATAAAAAGAGGAAAGGGTCTCAAGATTGGAAGATTATTTGGAGTTGAGGTATTAAGATATTCTGGAAAAGGTAGATGCAGTTTGAGGGGACAAAGAGAGAGAGAGAGCCCTGTCTTTTATATCTGTGGTTTGTTAAAGCTTATTCTGTCTTTTATGTTGGGTGTATCCTGTGACTACAAGATCACAGTTTTAGCTATGATACTGGGAAGTCAAGAGCCTACTGTGGCAACAGCTGGCTATTTTCATCCTCAAAGTTGGAAATCTTTTCTCCAGAATATAATATTCTAAAAATACATTAAACCAGATGTACTTAGCTGTAAATATAAACATAAGTAATAAGCAACCTCAGTTGTAATTAATTAGGTTCATTCATAAGGATGAATTAAATGATGAGTAAATGACATTCATTCAAATTATAGTTGATTCAATCCTTAAAAATCCCCACATCTTTCGTGATAGAAACCTTTCCAAGCATCCATGTGATGAGCATCAGCAAACTGCTCAGTTACCCTCATTTTCCCATTCTACAGTCCTCTCTCTCCGATACAGCCTGAGTGCTGTTACTGGTATCTGCACAGCAGCCACAGTCCCCCTGCCAGATGAGTACCAGGGTTACCAGAGTCCCAAACGGCAGTGCTGTGCGCTCACCATGCAGCCTCTCCTCTGCCCCAGAGATCCCAGCCGAATCCAAGCCAGACTAGTGGGTTTCTCTTGCTTAGCATTTGGTCACAAATATTGTCCCTATTAAACGACCTGATTTTGAAATAGTGGCTGAGGAGAATGGCAACTACTCCTTCTTGCTCACTGGCAAGTATAACACTACACCAGTAGAAGGGTCTCCTGAAAAGCAGGAAGAGCATCACAGGTGGAATGGATACCCATTCTTTGGGAAGCAAGAGAGATTTCCATATGGCCTCTGTGATGCTATAATTAAGAAAATAATCAGATTGAATATTGTCCTGACGAGAATTTTATGACTTACGTGCTTTTAGAAATCCTGATTCTCAGGAAGTCCATTAGGAGGCTGAAACCTTTTCCTTCACTCCTGCCCTCATCTTCTATGTTGTGTCAGGTGCTAATTGTGATCGCTTGCTATTTCGTGTTTTAGAGAAAGATTTTACTTCTTGTTATTTCTTGAATTAAAAGACACCTTTCCCCACCCATTATAGCATGGATATTTCTGAACTTTTATAATAAATTGAACTGATAATTCAACCATGTAAGAATTTCAGGGCATAGGAAACCAAAGCATGGCTTTCTTTGTACTCATTTTAGTTTCCTATTTGTGAGGAAAACCCCAACTTACCACAATTAGATAACAATAATTAACATATATCACACTTTAGTAGTGTCGTAGTAGCCACACACTAGTAGAATAAACTCTTACAGAGCAATTTTCATCCAAAAAGAAATAGTCTGCAGTCTAGTTTATAAATTCATACACCCACATCTTGATTGCTGCAGTCACTTCTGACTTATTATGAAAGACACAGAAGAACTAGAAAACATACAAACAAATACAGCAGGAACAATCAGAAATAAGAACAGTTTGCATACGCAAAGGAACTGAACAATGATATTTCAGTTCATAAAAAGTGGTAGCTGTGGAGGAGTACGGAATATTGATTAATGTTTCTCAGAACACAAAAGCTTGGAGGGTATTGTCTGAAATAATCTAATAGAAATAATACAGAGGGAAGTCTGTTTGACATAATACAGAATTAAACTGCAGAACTCACTGGCATAGCATATTATGGGGGCCGAGAGAATACTGTGACTCAAGAAGAAATTATATGAATTTGTGGAGAATGTTGATAAATGACTTATGGTAAACAGGATGGTTTAGGAAAAGTCTGTTACCCTACCTGCTGAAAGCTAGAAGGATGTAACTGCAGCCTTTTTCCATACAGATCACATTAGCACACTCTTTCTACTAAAGAAGGGTTTCTCACTGTTCCCTGGTGGGTAGACAAAAGCTATATAGTCTGACAAACAACAGCATTTCTTAAGATACAAATGATGTCTAACATTCCTTTAAACAGAAACTTTTTTTTTTTTTTTTTTTTTTTGTTAAAAAACCTCTTGGTCTTTATTCTCCCAGATTTTTATTGGGAAAGGAGGGTAGGGATCCTCTGGTCCAGTCCTTCAGACAAAACATAAATCCTGCCTTGTCCTGGACTTCTTTAGGTTTACTCCCAGTTTTTACTGTTATTTTTGTGGGTATGTTTTTCAGAATAAACCATCCTGTGGTAGGAATAAAAAAATCTTGCGCATGGTTGAAGGTTTGGTGACAATTATATTAAAACTCCTACCTATTTTTAGGTGACCATTTTTTTCAGTTACCTGTTTTTAGGTGGCCAGAAAATTAGAACAGACACACTGTCTTGCTGGCAGGGCTTTTCACATTTGAAACAAGTAAATGAATAATTATCATTCACATGCTAGTACTTAATCCTGATGTCAGCAATCAAGTGCTGTTGAAAAGATGCCACAGAAGATAGAAGTAAAATTTAAGCTAAACACAAACTGACACATATATTTGTCCTACGTGACCTACATTTTGGCTCTAATTGTGAATGTGGAATCTGCTTTCACCAACTAAGCTCTACCCTTTTTGACAGGTGTATTCTTACAGGGCATTTAGTAGTCTGCTTCATTTAAGGTATCACAGAGAGTTTGGTTTTCGGGACACACTTTATGTGTTTAGCTGCCTCTCCTCCTGATAATGCTTACTAATACCCTAAAGAAAATATTACCTCAGTAAATATGATTGCTGTTATTTTTTCTGATATTGAAAGTCTTTAGGGAAGGATAGTGCCTTTTATGTGAAAACTTTGAAGATGAACAGTGTGATGCCAGTTTCTATATGGAATGGATACATATAGGTACAAAGTATATGAAAGTATTTCATAAAAGCAATGTTGCTGAGCTGTATTTCAGCATTTCATTGTATGTTACGTTAAACATTTAGCTGAAAATAGTTGGTACATAATAATACAACAAAAATAATTTCCTTTAAATGCTTACATTAATGCTTCATTGGCTGGTATGAAATCCTTACGTTTATTTATGTATTATTGACTGAGGATAGTTTTAACTTACAAGAAGATAAACAATACATTTTGCATTCTTTTTCTTTTTTCAGGGTCCAAAAGAATCAGTGACAGTGAAGTTTCTGATTATGACTGTGATGATGGAATCGGTGTTGTTTCAGGTATTACTATTTAAATTCCCCTTTTTTAGTAGAAATATTTTTTAGATATAAATTATTATTATGAATTTTATAATGTTTCTCTAGTGAAAAATAAGTCAAAACTGTGTATTTTTCCAGCAGACACAAATAAGTATTATGGCTAATGCATATTTAACTACAAAAATTACTAACAGGGAAAAAAATCAATGTGTTAATTTCCTTGTTGCTTTTATAAAATGATAAAAATAGTACAAAAGTGGTTTTTTATTATATGTGAGGAAGTGTTTATTTGATTTTTTTTTTTTTGATAGACATTCGTGTTTGATATATCCTTTAAAACTTCATGGTAGAAGCAACTCTGCCATGTTCTGGAACCTGAACATTTAAGTGAGGATGGGAAATATCCTGAAAGATAACGTTTTACTAAGAAGGATTGGAATTGGGAGTTTAATGAGTATTTGTGATAAAAGGTGTCATGTGAAAGAGTATTTCTCCTCTTCTAAGAGAAAAGATAATACTGTAATCATAAATGAAAACAGTAAAATCAGAGAATCATACACTTTTGCTGACTACAGCAGAGAATATATTTAGCATCATAGAATCATTTAGGTTGGAGAAGACCAGTATGGAACCATTTTGAATTCCTTGTATTGTCCTGGAAAAGGGTAATGAGTTTTGCAAAAGTTTTACCAGGTGCTTGAATCTGCAGGAATCATCAGGATTCTTCTGAAACAGCTGGATTTAAAATTTTATCATTTCATAAATCTGTCTTTTGACAATTTGTAAAATTATGGTCTTCACAGTTCAGTGAATGAGTCTACTTCCCTTTCCCGACTTTCTGATGTACCTTTAGTTCCTGTAAGATCTTTCAGCTTTTGGATTTCTTCTGACAATTCTGCACCTTAGTTGCATTTTAATTCAGACTGGTTGTGTGGGTGGGAAAGTTTGATGTTCCTTAGGTTTTGAAATATTTATTTATTACCTTTCTTTTTTTTTGTGCTGCTGTCAGTATGTTTGCAAGTCTTTTGATTTATCCTTGTCATATCATCCACATCCTTCTCTTGTTTAAGTTTATCTTATTCATGTGCAGATTCATCACAATCTTGGTTTAAATATATATTTCCTTTGCATGAAACCAATTTGTCTCTCTTTGTTTTCTTTCTTTCTTACTTACCCCAGTTCTTTCATTTGTATTTTCAGGTTTTATTTAACATGACACTTCACTTTGCTCTTTTTCCTTCTGCCATATAATGTATCATATTGAGTATGTTTGCTGACATCTGCAAGGTACTCCCAGTGATCCTTTCCATAAAATTAACACTTACTCAAAGTACTGGACTTTTTCAAACTAAACTCCAGAAACCTTTAAGAAGAGCAAGAATTCTCTTTTGATTCCTCTTTAATTTACTTTTATTCAGCAGTGAACTAGATGAACTTTAAAGGTCCCTTCCATCCCAAACCATTCTAATCTGTGAAATCTGTGGACCTTCATTGATCTTATTATATCTTTAGAATCATAGAATCAACTAGGTTGGAAGAGACCCTCAAGAGTCCAACCATTACCCTAGAACTGTCAAGCCCACCACTAAACCATGTCACTAAAGGCAAAACAATCTCCCCTCAAGATCTCCCCTCATGGCTGTCCCTCATAGTCTCCAGTCACAGCCAACCCTATCTGCCCCTTCATAGTGGCCCACACTGTATAGCTGCCACCCCTACCCCTCATGGCCACTCCTCGTGTCCCCTCAAGATCACTCCTCACAGCCCATGGCCACTGCTCAAAGCCCATACTTGCCACTGCTCCGACGTCACGATCTTTCCTCACAACTACCCTTACCCCTGATGGTCACCCTTCCATCCCCTCATGATTTCCCCTCATGTCCACCCCTCCTGTTCCCTCACGATCTTCCCTCACAACCACCCCGCTTCTCCCCTCATGATCTCCCTCAAGGCCACTCTTGCTCTCTCCTCATTATCTCCCCTCATGATATAGCATAACATATACAAATATATAGCATTTCCTCACTTCTGGTCTCCCTCCCCTTGGCTCCGCAATCCTCACCCACTGTGATCACTCACCTTGACGCTAGAGCCACTACACAATCATAACCACGCTGGTCCCACAGCAGCATTCTTGGCAGTCCACCTCGGATGGCATGATCCTGGACAGATTTGAAAGGTGTATGGTGTCTGCCTTTGCCATGTCACTGGTTGGAGCTGAGATTTCCTCTTACTCCACAACACCTTTTCATATAGATTCTCTGGTACTGATCTCATGGTATCAGTTGACTTCATCTTTGGATCAGCTGCTGACAAAAACTTAAAATACTTATTCATGAAAGCTATAACTTCTAGTGGCTTGGATCTTACCTTGCTTAGAGAAGCTTAAGAAAGTTTAGTCTTGTACAGGAGAATGTTTCTATTAACGGGAAATATTTTGAAGAAAATAATGAGAAACCAATTGAAAAACTTCACTGTCTTTTTGTCTAGCTGTATGTATATTCTACGCCAGCTACTGTCAGAAAAGGTTATAACATATTATATATTTAAACAAGTATACGAAAGTGATTTTTGACAAGATTTTAAAATAGTTCTTTTCACATGTAATATACTTTCACTTCATCTTCGGATCAAAACCACTAGAACAGAATCTCTAGTATATCTCACTGCTGCTGGATTTAATGTTAGCACAGAATAGCAGAGGAAAGAGCATTAGCATTTCTGGTTTTGTTTTTTAAATTGCTTTTGCATAGCCTTCAAGGCACTTAAAGCATTCATTTTGCTGTCCAGGACAATAAACTTTGGCCCTCATAAAGCTGTCTGCCATCAGCAATTCTGTGTGGGAGCACATCAGCATATCCACATGCCATTCAGTGCTTACTGAGAAAAGCAGCACAGTAGTCTTATATTGATTTTATAAAAATTCCAGAGCACTTTTGTCATGGTTTAAGCCCAGCTGTAAATCAGAGCCACGCAGTCTCTGTCTCAGCCCACCACCACCCCTTCCGCCCTCCTCCCCCCCAGCTCCCGGAGGGGTGGAGAGGAGAATCAAAAGAATGTAACTCCCACAGGTTGAGATAAGAACAGTCCACTAACTAAGATATAACACACATCAGTGCTGCTACCACCAATAATAATAATGATAAGGGAAATAACAGGGGAAGAGAATACAACTGATCACCACCTGCTGACCGATACCTAGCCTGACCGAGCAGTGAGCTAACCCTTCCAGGTAACTGCCCCCAGTTTTACATCCTGGGCATGGTGTACTGTGGTATGGAATACCACACAAACACCATACAAAACACCATTTACATTATTGTAATACTGAATACAATTCAGTGGAAAGCAGGGTGTTTTGTTTGTTTGTTTGTTTGTTTTTCTTTTTATTGGCTGAAGTTGAATGGTCATTGCAGTTAAAAAAGTTCAATGAATATGAACTATAATTTCTGAATACTTTTCTTTCCAGGTACTTCCTCATAGTTTATGTGAAACCTGCTGTAACCTACTGAGTACAAGTAACCTACTGAGTCTAACTTTATGAGCAAAGGAACATGTATTGTCAAGACCATTTAATCATAAAAGTCTCACCTGCCATTTTTGTAAGACTTAAATATTGAGTGAGATATTAATGTTTAAAATTCAGTTCTACACCGGTATCTTACCTGCACTACATCATTTTGTTACACACTTCTAATCTGAGATAAACAGATAAATCCTGAAAGAGTGTAAGGCAGTGAGTTCTGCTTAAATGGCATTGCAAGTCTCTGTAAAAAAGAGGTTTTCTAAGTATAAGAATGCAGTATCCAGCCTTGAGAATAAAAACATTTATAGTGATAAGCTTTTCTCATTATGCAAATGATAGCAAAATGTTTCAGGAGCAAATAAGAGTACAAATAAGATATTTATTCAGAGGATAATTAGAGCCAAATAGATTAGAAAAAATAGTAACAACCAGTGAAGAAATTCTTGTGGAACTTACAAAACTGATTCTATGTTTGAAGAAGTATGAAAAGCAATTATTCATTTTTGCTTTGCTTCTCAAAACACCTGAGGAGTCCTTTGTTCAAAAGAATTCTTTCACTGTCATGTTGCAGCCTTCCCTGCAGAGGAAACAAAAATCCTTGTCTCTGTTTGCTGATAATGTGAATTGAATTTTTAGTCCTGGATCCTGTTGATGATTGCTTCTCAAAGCAGATACAGAACATGCAAATACCTTTGGTTACAGTTTGAAATCAACTGCCTATTGGAAGATATCTTACAGCATCCACATAGAGTGGATGGCTTCTACCCCTACTAAAATAAAAGATTTTGTTGTAGATCACCAGCTAGACTTAAACAGGAGTCTGTAGTAGTCGCCCAAATGCCCAGTGACTACAGACAAACACTGATCAGCCTTTTATGCTATGTTGGTACCTGTTGTCCTCACCTAAAATCTGTTATTTGTGAGTTCTTTCTTGAGTAAAAAATAGCTTAGTGCCTCTGTGTCTTGCAAATTCACCTCCTGATTGGAAGTGAAATTCCAATAGTGTTACAATAGTCCTTATGGTGACCCCTTAGGTCAAGGGGTCTTCGACCATTTTCCTTGTTTTTAAACAAATGATGTGTATATTATTTACAACTTATTTGTAAAATAATACATTGATTAAAAAAAAAATCCATAAACCCATGCACAATGTAGCTTCAGCTTATAGACTATTCAGATACTAATAATTAAATTTATTTAATCAGTTACCATTAGAACTTTTTAGAAGACATCCATATTCTGCATTTTAAATGTTCAAATCAACATAGAAGCTGAGCACGTTTGTGTTAGAGAACTGAACTGTCTCCAAAATGCCCATGTGTGAAATCTTGGTATGTTAAGCATTTCTGGCAATTTGATTATATAAGTGTTTTTAATTAGTTCTTGTTCTAAACTTAACTACATGAGTGCTAAAAATTAAGTATCTGATAAAGAGAAAACCTTCAAGCTTCAATCAAGTTACAAATGTTAAAGCGGGGAAAACGCCACTTGGCAT